AGTTAAAAGAAAAAACATAAATGACAATAAATACATAAAAAGAAAAGTTAAGGCACTGCATATAGCATAAATATCATGTTAGGAAGAATTAATTTAAATTAAATGAAAAAAAAAGTTATGTAATATTAGCAAAAGTGCAGCAGCGACGAAGAAGTAAACGCAGGTCTGAAGCTGTATCTCATGAAACACACGAAACACACGAAACACAATATGTCTTTAGTTTATGGATCAGGGGTCCACTCCTCACACTGGACACAGAACCAGCCGCCGACTGTGATCCTGCGGTCTGTGGTGCATTACGCTGAAGCCAAAGCAATGAAACCAAAGCAGAGATACGTCCACTCTCCCAGAGGAAACTCACATCCAAAAGCAGCACACTCAGCCGCAAAGTCAACGAATAGAATCTACAGCAGTTTGTACGAAAAACCTTGTGACCAGAGATAGATGTCGAAATAACTGAAAAGTTTGATTTAAAATGACTTGAAACTAGGATTTTGTGAATGATTTCTGTAGATTTTGTGAAGTTAAATCGTATTATTATTTGCCAATGTGGACAGAAAGATTTGATCACCTCCCTGATCAAACCCAACATTCTACATTGAACAAAAGTAACTCATTTAATCTAATTTGTATTTACCATTGTGGAATACATTTTAATTAAAATTACATTAAAAAAACCTCTTAAAAACATAACAATTCACTCAACCAAACTCAGAGCCACCCCGTCTCATAACGATCGGTTTTAATGCACAAGATAGAAAAAGGAAGATTCAGATTCAGATTCAGACTAATTTATTTATCCCACCAGGGGCAATTCACCAGGGGCAATTAAAAAAAAATCTGAATGTTTGATGCAAATTGTTGGTCACAAGTGCAAATGAACGTGATATAAATAGCTAAAGCCAATTCAACGCTGCTATTTCAATGTCTGTAAGTAAGTAAGTAATCTTTATTTATATACTGCCTTTCACAGACCAGAGTCACAAAGCGGTTTACAATTGTTATTTTTGGGCATTTGTCTCTCACTCCGCACAGAGATGGGAGCAGAGTCGCCAGTACAGGAGGCACATGCCAGACCAATTGTACATGTTTTTAGTGGTAGGGGAAACCGGAGCACCCGGAGGAAACTTACACAGACACGGGGAGAACATGCAAACTCCACTCAGAAAGGAAAGGGTAAGGAGTGCTGCGTGTTACAAGTGTGTAGAATTATTTAAAAGACCAGGTGCTCAATTGGAAGAGGGGTTTAACTTAGTAACCAAAAAATTAAGTTTTGACTTTCCAGGTAAAAAGCAAATTGGTGCGTATTTTAATCCACAGCCATGAGTAAATAAAGGCTTTTAAAAAAATCTAAACCACTGACCACGACTGCCTTGGATTTTTTTGATTTTCTAAGCTATTCATCATTTGCTTTTTACCTGGAAAGTCAAAACTTTATTTTTTTGGTTGCACTCAGAAAGGCCCTGTTCCGACCGGGACTCGAACCCAGGACCATCTTGCTGAGAAGCGAGAATGCTATCCACTCAGCCACCGTACCTCACGCATATACAGAAGCGTGTGAAAGATTTGTATGCATTTATTAATTTGATTTGGACACAACAGTTACAAGACCATACAAATCCACACTACGCTTAAAGTGGACATTCAATAATAATACCATTTGATAATTATGACAATTATGAACAATTCTGATTAAATATAGTCTTCTGAGTGTATAGGCAACTGTGAGTTCATTTTGATGTTTTATAACCATCACCTCGAACTGTGCGACTGGGTAAATTCTTCTAAAATGGAAACTGGACAACACGCAGCACACTTACAGATGTTTAAACTCGCGCCAGAACAACGCTCTCTCAGTACTCCTCACGATACTTGTAATCTGTGTATACAACTGAACTTTTACTTTTAAAGACGCATGTATTCTAACAACTCGTCTTGAATGTAGAGTCTGGGCAAAAGTGGAATTGTGTCAAAAAATAAATTGCTTCTGAACAGGCTTCATGACAAGAAACAACTAGCTCCAAAATTCCAGCTGAAGTTCTTTTGCCAAAGCTCTGACATTAATAGCTTCAAGATCTGGACCCACCCTTAAACCATTTAACGCAATCTGCATTTGACAAGTTTATTCTCTATCCATACTGTCACATCAGCTGTTTCTGTAAACATCCATGGGCCGCGGGATTTTGGCAAAATATCTGATTGCAACATTTCTGACCAACATTGCAGTGCGATTTTGAGAGACTGTGAGTTTAAAAAGTCACATTTTTTGTTCAGAGTAAATAGAGTTCAATTTGAAAAAGCAAACATATATAAATACACATTTAGGGAGAGTTCTAATCTCTCGTCCAACCATTTGTTCTTGTAGAAATACATGTTAAATATACATATACACACAGTTTTTTATCTTTTCTTACAATATTCTTATCACCAGGCTTGAGTTGTTTTATATATATTATAACATTTATCCTTCTGTTCGGCTCTAATATGCACAACTATGACATTGAAATGAAGAAAATTCGATTTGAGGGACTAATAAAGATTTATCTGATCGTATCTTAGATTGACAAATCTTCAGGATATACTCAAATCAAAAGAAGTTTTCCAAAATTTGAGCACATTTTTAGTCCCTTTTTTTGTTTGCAAAGAACTTCACTAATTGAAGTCTTAATGATTTTCTAATTGCAACCACAAACGATATAATAAATGTGATTGTTGGTGATTAATTGTGAACACTGATAATTACATTTCATTGCTGCTTTTGATTTTTTCTGATAAAGTGCCATGAATCACTGTTCCCTTTCTCAGAAGTCGGTCATATGACAAAACACTTTTTTTTTTGCTCTAATTTGTAAATAAAGAAAAGTTTTATTCCTTTGATTTTGAGTTTCAGTATGAATGAGCAGATGGATTCATCCAGTGGAGATAGACAGCGTGCGGCAGCAGATTGGGCGTGAAACTTATATTCAATAAGGCTCAAGTTTACGTTTCATTATATTGATTTCAATCCATTCTTTATAGTTCTAACAGAAGGACTGGGGAAAAAGAAATACTTAAAAGGGCACAATAGCATGGGAAGAAAGAGGTAAAAGCAAAGCAACATTCTCCATCAAGTTTAGTCAAAAGACCAACTAATATGAACATGGAAACTAATATGAGGAGATGCAAGCACAAAGGAAGCGTGTTGCTATAACTACTTTTAATTAAACTTTTATTCTTTCCCCGTTTCCTAACTCACCTCAAATTCAATGTTTGAGCTTTTGCTTTTTTTGACATGACATTAAATAAGCATCATCTTACAGTACATGTAATTTGTATTTTATTGTTTGTATTCTATCTTTACCAAATACAAGAAGGTGCATTATCTTTAAAAAGAGGAAAGAAGGAAAGCGTTTAAGCACTAACAAAGAGTGCGTTCCTATTGGATATGTTTTGGAAAAGCGTGTTGATTTAACACATTTGCATCTCTCACTGAGCAGGCGGCACACAAAAGCCTTTCCACAGCTGTTCACTGTCAACATTTCTGACATAAAAACAGAAAGGAAAATATGACGCTTGAAAAGTTTGTTTTACGGCGAGTGTGTGTGCTGAGATTTGATGATCCGTGTCTGTCATCATCTACGACTCACCTCGTCTTTTATCCTCTAAGTCCAACACATGTCAAGGAATTACTCAAAGGAATAACTAAGAACAACCTAATGTCGCTGCATGTGTTCACAGAGATTCATATAGATAGCTTTGTGTAGAAAGATAAAGTTACCACAAGACTGAGGACGTTTAGCTCTTAGAAGAATTCAACAAAGGTACTTCCATCTGTCCTGACCCTGGTGGATCTTGTGGATGTTACAGAAACAGCCTGCATGTAATAAAATACATCTTCTATGTATGTGCATTTTAACCTGCGCTCTTTGATCAGCCTGCAGCTGGTGAAACATGTTGGCCCTGACGCACAAAGCCCTGGAGATAACAGCGATATGGCACTTTTCACCACACCTGCTTTCTGTTCAGAGCTTGTGTCTGCGCTCCTAAAAGGCCACAGCAGCCATTTGAGAGTTCAACATTAAATCCACATATTTAATTCATATCAGACTTATTGTAAATATTTGACAATTGCAAATGTTATAAAATATGACATATAATAATCAGTGGTGGGCAAGGTACTTTAAAATTGTAATTATATTGATATAATATTTATATTTATATTATACAATATTGTAAAATGTGATTGAGTAACTCTAATTATATTACACTGATAAGAGTTTGAAAGACATTGTCTAAGATTTACAGACAGTACAGATCATCTGTTTCCTCCAATAATTGCAAACAGTGTGAAACCAAAGCAATACTCTTAAGCATATAATGTTTGTTACTTTGAATGCACTCGCAATATATTGCCAATTTTCACTTTAAATGAAATTACACTACTGAGTCACCTCACAATGTAATAAATAAAGCGTTCATAATACAACGGAAAATATGTACTCCTTATCTTGACCATAGTGTGGAAAATCATGTTATATTCAGCTTATGCATGGGGCCTGGAGGCCTGTCGCTGGCTCATGGTTGTGGTTGTGTCTGACAACAATCAACAGTTAGTTTATTGCCGCTGTGGTGAAGGGGAAATTTCCTGGGGATTATTACTGGTCTTGTGGTTCTGTTTGAGGTGGGCTCTGTTGAGGTGAAAGGCTTCATTACGGTCTGGAAAAGACAGATTTGCGGACGCGCACCATGGCTTGAAAAGTGGTAGATTGAGTTGTGGTATTTAGAGGAAATGAAGGGAAACGAAGGGAGGGAAAGCAGCACAAACAATTCGCTTCATTAAATGTTCTAAGTGCCCTATTAGCCTAATTGATTTCTAATAAATACAAGATAATATGCTTAAATAGGCTATCCTTCTTTTACGCGCCAAACATAGTGTGAGGTCCCCGGGGGAGTGGGTTTCTGAAGGACAGGCCTGGTCTTTGCTTTCATATTTCTACAGTATATGTTTGGAGCAGACTCACCCACACACTCGTTGGCCTCTCTGGCGGTTGCGCGCTGCCATGGCCGGTCGTAGTGGAAGGGCTTGCACCTGTCGCACTCGGGCCCTGCGGTGTTGTGCTTACAGTCGCACACTTGGTTCCCGTCCCGGTCTCTGATGCAGCGGGATGCGTGTCCATTGCACTTGCACCTGCCGCCCACCTGCAGGTCAGACACGGCGTAAAAGTACGAGTCCCTTGCCAGCTCCGAGTCGTCCTCATTCTCGTCCCCGAAAGTGTGCAGCCGACTGAAGATCACTTTTATGTCTGTGGCCGTTACCCAGTCCTGCAGCACCGGGGAGTTGTCGAAGTCGTGCGCGGAGGGTCTCCCGTCCAGGGTGCTGAAGGCGATGAGTCCCCCGGTGAGCGGGTACATGTCCGTGTGGGAGTCGGTGCACACAGCCTCCTGCTCGTTCTGCTTCGTTATCGCGGCTCTGTTTGGTTTGTTGTACATTTTCCTGCACTGAGTGGAGTAAAACTGAAATGGTACCCAGGTTTTCCCGTAGTCCATTGACTTGTAGATGACCATAGACTCGGGGCGAGGAGAGCAGAACTGCAGACTGACATAAGTCACCTCAAACTTCTTCCCCAGGGACAGTGAGAGAGTGACGTTCTGCGGGTGCTGCTTGAAGCTCTCGGACTGCCAGCAGGTCAGGTTGTGCGGGTTATTGAGGTCGGTCAGATACGCGGGCGGATGATACTTCTTCGGGTCAGACGCGTCGCACGTGTGGCAGTTTCTAGTCCTCTCTGCGCCCTTCTCTACTGAAGTGACCACACAATAGCGGCTGGGAGTTTTTCCGCATGTGCTGGACACTTTGACCTCTTTGCCAAACGCCGCGTTGACAAAGTCCGGGATGCAGCGCCGCGGGTTGCCGTGTTCATCGTAGCAGGGGTCTGGAGGAGACGTCTGTGCTGCGAACATCCCTCCATAGCCGCACAGCGCGACCTGGCAACACACGGAGGCTGCGAGCACCGCCAAGAGCATCGTGTCCGTGCGGAGAGAAGAAACTATTACCGTACAACACGAACCACGCTGCTTGAGATCTTTGTTTAGTGAAGCTGCTTGAGATCTTTGTTTAGTGAATTATCTCAAACTTTGGAATAAAGTTTCGAATGTTTTATTCTTCAAGTCCGAGCTCCACCTGCCTCTTTCCGTTCTTCAGATCTGGTGCGTAAACGCGTTCGTATTTAAGAGTGTCTCAAGTGTCCCGCTCTCTCTCTTTCTCTCTTTGCGCATTAAAGCAGTGTGAAGAGAAGTGGGGGCGTGGGGCACTGGTCTCAGCAGCACCGCTCATCTTCAGGGGCCACGCACGCGCACTGGGGGCGAGGGCATCCTCTGACCGCATCACTGATGGTCATCACTGAGAGGAGCGGCTCTCCTCTGGGTCAGCAGGAGAACGCATGGTGTCTGTATTTAATTACCTCAGGGGAATTATAAGGCACTTTTCTTGTGCACTTCTAGATTAGAAAACTATTTCAAGCTCAAATGTCCAGAATATGCTCCTAAAATGTCAAACCAAATCAAACATTGTTTTTATTGCCCTTAGCATATATATGTAAAACCGAGATATGTTAGTAAAGATCAGCGTGTGGGGATCGCGCCAACTTGTTGAGCAGTGGTGGTAGATAGCGCCATCTTTTGGATTTTACATGAACTATTTCAGCTTGTCAGGGAAATAATCATGGTCTTCTTTCTTTGTAGGTGACACATGATTGTGTTAAAGAATGTAAATATGCAAATATGTAACAGCATTTTTTTTATCATTCAGTTTACAATGACATTTTTTTTTTGAATATTTTTTTTGAATCTATATTTGTTTTCATAATCAAAACAAGAACACACACCAACTTTATGCCGCTTCTTTTTTATGTTATTTTTTTGTTATTTTTTTTTCAGGACGTTTAGTTATATGTGTCTCTTATAAAGTTTAAACAAAATAAATAACAAGGTGAACAAAGTCGTCGGCGTCAAAATAGATTGAAAACAAACAAACATGACAGATGACTTCCTCTTGTGGGCCAACATCCCTTCCCACATCCACGCACGCTCACACACATGCTCAGAGACAGACGCCCCACCGCGGCCCATTCACGCAGCCGCTCCGCTCTTCCTCATTGTGCTCACATGCACCGCTCTCAGCCACTTCCTGTTTGTGAGAGTTTAGAGATGCAACCACAGAACTACGAGCAGCGAACCTCCAGCTGAAGCCCCCGGCCTCTCTCCTCACTGTGCCCGGGATGTGCTGCATGAGGCGGCTGCAGGCGGCTGAATGAATGGAAGAGATCTGATGGAGACTGCGCAGTGAAGAAGAGGTGAGGATCCAGGTCTGCCAGAGACTCTCTAACCTGAGCTCAACCTCAGATGGGGATGTGGGGTCAGTGTAGCCGACCTGCACTCTCTCACCATGTCCTCCTATGCTCTTCTTCTGCCGCAAGTACACGACCACTGTTACTGCGGTGCAAGAATAGAACTGTTAACCTTAAGTCTCACTTCTGTCTAATTTGTTCAATCTATGTGCACAATATTTAAAGGACGGCTTTCAATCCTTATTCTATTGCGGTAGAAACATTTTGGATTAAAAATACACAGCCTCTACAGGAGTTAAATTAAAAACATGTACTAAAGTTTTATCTGCATCAACAAATACAAGATCATGTCTATTGGACAGCACCCAGCAACATCTGGGCAAACATATCGAATTGCAATTAGATATGACAAATACTGCATTTAGATGAAAACAACTTCAAACGTGTTAGATTTGGTACCATGCATGCACTGATTTGCTAATACAAGATTTCTGCACATTCAAGTATTTTTTTATATTTGTACTCAATTTGAACAATAGTTGATGCTTGAAAAAAGTACTTTAACGCTGTCTCAAATGAGATTTGTATAGCATATAATGGCCCGTTTAACTTACAATAAAGCTTACAAAGAGATTAATTCATGTCAAGACGTTACAATATATACTCAAATCCACATTTATTTCCCCTTATTTGTCTTTATTATATTTGTATTTTTTCCTTTGTAATGTTTCTTTCAGCTATTGAGATTTAGATTCATGTTTTGATAATGTGCCTTTCTACAACTTCAATTACACTTCACATATTCAGTTGCTCACAAGCTGTTACATTGCCTCTTTATACCTCTGTCTACTTTAAACATGTTATTTCACGTATTTTTGTGAATTTAAAAAGCTCAGAAAATACATCATTTCATAAAGATTTTCTCATTTGCGAACAAGAGTGAGGGCAAACCCAGCTATAATGCATTCCTCAGCACATTGGCATTTGCAGATGCGTGATATGATAGTAGTTGTTTCGGAGCAAACAGGAAGTAAAACTCATGATTTAGTTTGGTGCCACATATCTGCTCCCTTTTTAAATGCACAGCTGCCATGTATCAGCTCCACGTCACATCAGTCTGTCTCACTGGCTGTTGGGGACACTAAACATGGATTGATAAGAATATAATGTGTATATAATGTAGAGGTTACTCCCTAAACCATGCTCTGTGGTGACAACACACTAAATTGCAAATACAGGAAGAGTTCATTCACACACTTCTCAGAAAAAGTTAATTACCTAATCAGAAATAATGTGATATATTTCCTATTGTGAAACCCACACACCCTTCTCTTCATGTGTGAACACAGTTGACTGTTTTTCACATCTCTCTCACTCAGATACTTGGAAATATTTGGATTGGCTTTCTGTGAAATGTGCTTTTTTATGTCTTTGTGGCTTTGTTTTCTCATCACCAGCACTCATCTGTGTTTTCATCACGTGTTTCATGTTTGATGTTCATTTCTGTGAGTGCGGGCGTTTAGTTTTACACCTGTTGTGCACAAAACGTTATATTACATTGTTTGTTTTGTTATCGATGTTACTTTTTATTCAAAGAGGTTAGTGTCATTTTTGTGTTCTTCAGGAAACTCTCATTGCAAGTGCTTTTTTATTTATTAATTATAAGATGCACCACTAAATATACAGTACAGACAAAAAGTTTGGACACACTTTCTCAATCAATGAGTGTCCTTTCTTTTCATGACTATTGACTGTAGATTCACACCCAGGCAGTGTAAGGGCTGTTTGACCAATAAGGTGAGAGGTGGGTGCTGGGCCAGATGACCTGAACCCAATCCAGATGGTTTTGGACCTGAACCCAATCCAGATGGTTTTGGGGTGAGCTGGACCACAGAGTGAAGGCGAAAGGGCTAACAACTGCTAAGCATCTCTGGGAACTCTTTCAAGACTGTTGGAAGACCATTTCAGGTCACTACCTCTTGAAGATCATCAAGAGAATGCCAAGAGTGTGTGAAGCAGTGATCAGAGCAAAAGATGCTACTTTGAGGATCCTAAAATATAAGACATATTTTCAGTTGTTTCATTCATAGTCATGAAAAAAAAAAAATCTTTGAATAAGGAGGTGTGTCCAAACTTTTTGTCTGTACTGTATACTGTATTGATCTATATCTGCAGACATTCCTGGAAGAAAATAAGTGTGTGTTGTCATAACAAGGGCTCACAGCCGCGCACGTGTTTAAGTCTCTCTGTTACCTGATATGGGAAAGAAACAGATCGAGCTTTTGAATGATTTTTTTATTGCTTTTTAAAGAATAAACTTTATAACTTATTTTCTAACTAACATAACTTGTTGATCCCAACCCAAAGAGTCTTGCACCAACATGCTGTTGTCATCTTTAGGAAAACGTTGTACTTGTATGAAAGAGGCCTGAGAAATCACTGTTTGACTCTTTGGGCTGAGAGCGGATTGGCACTTTTTTACTTTTCTGTCTGAAAAAGCCGAAAAAGATGTGACGGAGGCTAAAACACATGCATGCAAAACTATTGATAGAACCAACTGTTTTCAGAGCGAGAAACAAGATGGATTGTGATACATAGTTTTATGTTTTTGTGGTTTGAAAGTCAGGTAAGCCAGCTTTAACCCAGTCTCATGGAGGATAACCCTACACTAAAATGTATTGAAATTAAAGCACCCATTCCCTGAGCGGATAGCACTCTCGCTTCTCAGTATGAAGGGCCTGGGTTCAAATCCTGGTCGGGACAGGGCCTTACTGAGTGGAGTTTGCATGTTCTCCCTGTGTCTGCTCCAGTTTCCTCCGGGTGCCCCAGTTTCCCGACCATTAAAAACATATACAATAGTACTGGCATGCGCCGCCTGTAAAGTGCTTTGTGACTCTGTACAAATTAAGATTACTTACTTACTTATTGTCATTGATTGAATATTCAAATAAGATAAGATAGACTTTATTGATCTCACACTGGAGAAATTTACCAATATCTGATCTCTGAACATGGTAAAAGGGCTTTGGTCTGCAACAATGTGCTATATAAATACACATTACTTACTTACTTGTAATAATCTGCTGTCACTTTCCACCATAGTCTAACAGATGAATTCCCTGTGGGGGGGAAACTCATTATTGCAAATGCTGGAGCTGCTTTACTCAAAAAAAAGAAAAATATTGGACTCAATCAATCTGAATAGTCTGGGAAAACAACAAGTACAGCGAGTGCACCCGCAGACACAAATGGACCGCTGCATGGGAGTAGAGGAGGCGCACAATGGAGAGGCACCTGCTTCCTCCACGGGGCAGGATAGCTCTCATCCTGAGGAAGCACTTGGTAATGGGATCAGTGGGAGAGCGCAAACATATGGGACAGGTGGGCCGTAGCACCAGGAGACCGTTTCATCAGGAGACTTGTGTGATGGATATTCTTTTTAAATATCTTAATAACTCATTGACTACAAGCCGTTTTTGAGGATTTCACTGATTTTCAAGACCCGCAGAATATTGTGTGCTGTGACTATGTGAAATATAGTCATGTGTGAAATTGCTCAGGGACTACAGGTGTAAATTAGCACTGCTGCTACAACCTGGTACAATGCATCTCTCCTTTTGGCTAATGTTTACGGTACACTGTCCCTGTAAAAATAAAAAACCATACCATGCCATATGAAGCTATTCTGAAAGACTTGACTGTCTACTTTAATCAGCAAAAATAAGATGGTTTCTCGATAGTTTTGTTCTCCTGTAATCCCCAGTCTCAGACAAAGATTTCCATGGCTGTCAATGAGTCAATAATGGCAAGGGAAGTTTATTTGTATTGTAAGAGCTTATTTCAAACATGCAAAAGAAGACAATATAAACAAAACACAAGATACAGAATCAAAACAAGACACAAAAGAAAACCGTTTGGGGAAAAAAAAAGGCTGGACGAAGACGAGAAGATGCTTATTTGGCTCTAACCCTTCTCACTCATTCAACACAATCACACACACACGCAGTTAAGACAGGCACAACTGTTTTTGATTCTCTGATCTGTGTCGGCCATTTCAACGGTTTTGTTAAGTCCTTTCTTTGAGATAACGACTGTTGTGATTTAGGGCTATACAAGAATAAATTGAACTGAATTGAATGCACCACAACACGCACACTTAACACAAGACAAGACACAGGCCCAAACACTCTCTGACCACACACCCCCCTCCCCTCCTACTCGCCCTGTGCTGAAGTCCTCACTCCTCCATACAGTATATTACTTACAGCACACAAGATTAATCATACAATCCTTCAGTTGTATGCACATTTTCAGGAAGACTGCTCCAGATTTTAGCGGCATAAATCTGAAACGCTGCCTGCCCATGTTTTTGTTCTTACTCTGAGCACCAGCTGGAGACCTGTACCTGTGCTCCTCAGAGTCCACACGGGTCCATATGGCACTAGTATGTCATAGATGTACTTTTGGTGCAAGAGTAAAAGTAATTTTAAAAAGTGGTTATTAACACTCCTGTCCATGTAGTGATCCAACTGACCGATTAGAGTTTAATTTCAAACTCTATTTCAATACTTTCAATACACAGCCATTAATTATGAATGCTTTTATTCTTTAACAACAAACTCTCATTTTTAACTAATAATAACTTTTATGGGGCTGCAAGTTACTCCGTTTAAGATTGATCAAAAACTGCCCATGTCACGTATTCCTTTTTTGTATCGATACTTGCTTAAAACCCATACAACCATGGGACCTATAAAATAATTACATATTATAAACAAGATGTAAAATATATTGTGAGTATATTGTGAGAAAAGCAGGTGTACCGCTTTACAAGACATTGCAGACTTCAGTTTGTGGACAGGGAGATAAGAACTGGCTTCTTTGGATGTTGTACTTACTGCTGTAGGTACTCAATCATTTATCATTTACCGAATTAATTGATCAATATCTGACTTATTTGACTAATTGTTTATACCAGGGGTGTCAAACTCATTTTTCTTGTGGGCCAAATTGAAAAATCAGAATCATTTTTATTGCCACGTAAGTAACAAACAAAAGTTACCACTTGGAAATTGTTTTGGCAGAGAGCGTGCCACTTCGCCATTTGCGGCGCTGTGTAAAAAAAGTAATTTCAGTGGCCACAAATGTTTTTCTTGCAGGACGGGAAACTACAGTCATAATTTAACTAAATAGTTTTCAAGCATGTATGTTTTTAGATTAGATTATAATTCGGCAAGAATTATAATCTAATGGTTGATATTTAGAACCAAAAAGAAAATGGGGTCAGATCCACTTTTAGCCACAATCAGTCAAGAGCCCATAGACATTCTTTACTCTACAGCCCAACAATTATCACTACAATGTTGCATGTTTTTATTTTCTCTAATTACAATAGAAGCAACTATCCCGCACACACCTCACTGCTTAACAAATTGTGGAAGTGCACTCGTTGACGCATAGAGTGAGCTGTCTGTCTCCTTGCAAAACACACCACGCAAACAAACGTGGGTTTTTAAAATTCCCCTCATGTCTTCAAAAGTCATGTCAGCTTTATAACTTTCACATGTGTCTCCATAACATCCTCATGAGCCATAACTCCCTGAGATATTAGTTCCTTCCACTTTCTTTGGGCTGAAGTCCAGATTTTTCCAACTGGGACAAAGGCCGGAGCCCTCAGCTCAGGAACCCAGAACTCCTTACTACTGTGGGCACATTACAATAGCCCGTCATTATGTTTGTACTGTACCTATGTTTGTACCTATGTTTGTACCTATGTGCGGCGAGCGCTGTGGAGGCATTTGCATGAACCTGATGCCCGGGCTGATGATTGACATGCACGGATAACTGCAGAGTTTCTGTTAGCGCTGTTAAAGTGACATGTTTACAGGAGAGTTATTAAATAAGTACTTTAGCTATTGAAACGTACACACACATATATAATAATTATAACATTTGGAACAGTCTTCCTGAAGATGTGAGACAGGCCTCCTCTCTGACAATGTTTAAAACCAGGTTAAAGACAGTGCTGTTTAGCTGTGCATACAACTGAGGGATTTTATATTTTTATCTTTCTTTTTAATGTTCTGTGATTATTTATGATTTTAATGCTTTCTTGTTTTGTTCAGCACTTTGAGTTGCCTTGTGTATGAATTGTGCTATACAAATAAACTTGCCTTGCCTTGCCTTGATAGAAAATAAATACATTTTTAAAAGATAGAAAAAAATTATGACGCCACTCTTTAAAATGATAACGATAATGGTATTGATAATGATTGTTGTTGTTATTATCATTTTTATAGTTAATATTAGTGGAAGGAATGATGGTAATAATCACAATTAATAATTATTATTATTTTAATTCATCAAAAATTGAAAATTATTTGGTTTGAGCTATCTGTCGTAATTTTGGTGCCGGTTAAGGTTGTCTAATTTGTAATTTTTTTTAGACAAGAATGGGGTAGGAGTTTACACGATTTCTTTTTTTTTGCATGTTGGCCTTTATCATGGAATATATTGCTGTTGTACTTGCTGGATTGCTGTGGTATTTTATTGCATTACCATGAAAAAATTGAGCAAAAAATAAAGAATATTTTGTAGTGGATGTTGTGCATTTATACTATTGTTGTAAACTATTATTATACTATTGTTGTGACAAAGGTCTCCATAGCACGTCTCTTTCAGGAAGTGGCAGATTTCTTCCTCTGTTTTTCCCCCATGTTGCATTCACGTGTAAATACCAATGTTGTGTTAAAGGAATAGGTTTGAACATCTAGCCTCGTTTTTTTGCTGGGATTTCATTTCTTGCCACATTTCACACTAGGACGTAAAACAACGCAACTGAACTTTTTCTCATTTTTCAAGACAATTGCCCCGTTTTATTTTATGTTTCTTAATGCAGGAAGGACAGACATGTGCATCACACCATAACCCCACCCCCAAAACAGTTTTTTTAATACAATTTTCTTGCTGTTTCTTTTTTATGTGGAGAAACACTAAACTTCCACAAATGACTCCCGCCTTGTTATAACCACCAGCTGTATTTTTTCTAAAACCTCTGTCAAGAATCTTATGTTTGAGGTTTGGCGACGAAACAAAACGAATTCCATATCAGGGTTTGGGTTGTTTTTCTGATATAGACAATTAACATTATTGTTGATATTTTGAGCATGACAAAAAAAAATGAATGGGGTTTCCCCTGTGGTGTTATGCAAATTTGATGTGTTTTTGAAAGTTGGACAATCATTTATAGACTAATTATTGTATTCATAGTTTTTTTGCCTGGAATCAACATGAAAAAACATATGGCTTTTCGACTAATACAAGATCTACTGTAACTTAATTGGGACCAGAGTAGAACTTCAACTTGACTTTGACCAAAAAATGCATATCCCAACAACAATTCAAATTTTCTTAAATCCTTAGATGCAAAAACGTTACCATTGAACACGAGCGGTATAAATAGCTGTTTGTTTTGTTTTCCTCTCGATTTCTTACATAACTGATCATTTGCATTGGAGATAGACACTGTCCGCTGTGTGTACAAAGTCGAGCGCTCGGCAGAGAGAGCAGGCTGTGGGAAGGTTCTCAGTTCTGGAGGTTTTTTTTATTCACTTGCAGACACTGTTGAAGATGCAGCAAACCACATGCACCGAGGACCGCATCCAGCACGCCCTGGACCGCTGCCTGGACGGACTGCGGCAGAGTCCGACCGCCGCGCATGACTGGAAAGGTAACTATGATTGCACCCACATTATCTTCACTTCTGTTTTTGTACCATCACAGATAACATAAGTAAGCAGTAATAATAAATACAAATATACAGTTTGAAGGAGGAGTGCTGAAGTCCATCTTAGATATTTTTATTTATTTTAAATTGCACATTTTTAAGAAAGGGGCTGGCATAAGATTGTTTTCTTTCTGCTCCTTTTCATTTGTGTGACAGGACTGCAATTATTTGAAATGTAATTGTTAAACGGGACGTATTGTCAAGTCCACAAGTGAAATAGATAATTGAATAAAGCACTTAGAAATTTTTGGCTTAGGGTTTGTGTTAGTGTTGTATAGATATAGAATTAATCTGATCTGATAATTCACCAGTCACTTAACCTGCTGCTGCTGCTATATTACTATTTATTCTGGTCAAATTCTCTGCTGCTAACGTACAATACGAACATCTGTGAATGTGAAACCTCATGACTGCTGCTGCCTACAATGTTGTACTCCACAAGTGACTTATGTTTGACCTAAGTGCAAATATAGCTCCATATAATCTTATTTGATAATCTATTTACTATAAAAGATCTTGTTTGATGTGTGCTTAACCTGAGTGCTCGTATTTCTCCTCCTATCCTGCTGTAATGTGCGCAACTATGACATTGACATTGCCCCACTGAGGGATGAATACAGGAATATTTCATCTTTTTATTTTATTGTGATATTAATTGAATTTCCAACCGTCCATCTATCCATTTTCGTCTTCTGCAGTAGCGCGTGTGTCCTCTGTTCTGAAGGTTGGACAATAATAAAAATAAAAAAAGGCACTTACCCCAGCAGGCCCCCATGTCTCTCTGCATACATTCCATTATGAATGTGAATTTGAGTGCCTTGAAAAGAACAAGTAAAAGAACAATAATTGCGACCATTTACTCTGGGTCCGTGCAAACTTCCCCCAGCTCATCAATCTAATTTAATTCCTTTTTATTTGAGGGTGCTTAAAACAGAACAAAGACAATGATACAAAAGAGCAAAAGGAAAGTAGTAGACCCACGCAAAAGTACCTTGTGAGGACCTATCCTTATAGTTTGCCTTAATAATTGCTATTCACCTTTTCTAACCCCTAAACTGAGGTACCCCCTAACCTTTTTGTGTCATAACATTTTGCTTGTTATAATAAGAGTCTTGTAAAGCTAGACCACAATGTAGCCTTTCTCTCTTTAGAAAACATTTAGCATAGCCTTGTGAGTCACTATTCAACTCTTTGGGCTGGGAGCTGATTGGCCAAGTACGAGTGGTTCTCTTTTCACTTTTCTGTCTGAAAAATCGGATCTCAATAGGATGCAGGCCAAAAATGTTCGAGAAGGCCATAGCGATAGGAGCAAACAGCTTTAAGAGCAATGAACTAGTGGAAATGATTTATTGCATAGTTCCTGTTTTGTGGTTTGAAAGTTAAGTAGCACAGCTTTAAATGTAATTCTTATTTAGGCTAGTAATCCGCATTATTGATACATATACAGGTGTGTTAGTAACATTTGAAGAAACCTTTTTTGATTGGTCTTTTGACATGTTTGAGAAGCCTAAAAATAGGTTTGAAATCTTGAAATACTCCGCTCTGTCTATCATAACAATATCGAATAATTGTTTAACTTTCTGAAAGGACTCCTGAGATTGTATCAATAATGGGTTAGTCATTATTGTGTGAAATGACTGAGGTGTGAGATTTCTCCCCAAAACGTCATGTGCTGCTAACCACATTTTTAACAGTTATTACACATTGGAAAGATTATATATACATGTTTTCTATATATAGTTGTTGCATCTATTTTTGATGGTCTTCACTATAAATGATACTCTCAATATCATAAAGTTGCATTTCTCCCTAAGGTTATTTCCATCGTCTCTGCATAGTCAATTTTAACTTTCAGATCAGTTTCAGTTCAGTTTATGTATTTATTTCAGACGTTTCAGAGAATTTTAGGCACATGGTCATAAGATACCAAGTCTGAAAATAATGGGAATAGGCAGAAGCTAAATCTATAAACAAGATATACTTTATACTTTATTGATCTCACAATGGACACCTATTCTTTAGGTCAGTGTTCCCCAACCTTTTTGAGCCGTGGCACATCTTTGTCATTGCAACAACAAAAAATCACATGGCACACCACCAACTGAATATGATACAATTTGAGGAAGGGCTGCACAATATGTCGAAAAAATATTGTTATCCCAATATTGGTGCGTACAATATCCATATAGAAAAGATATGCATTAAAAATATCTATATATTTTTTTCTTTTTTCTTTTCTTTATTAAAGACAACAAAACAGACACATCAACATTCAACAAGAACAACAAACAAACAAACAAAAATTATTTGTTATTTGTCTCTTGCGTTTCAAAGCAGATTGTAATTTTAGGTGAAAGACAAAAATATCGCAATAATATCATTATTGCAATACTAAACACTCATGTTGAATATCGCTCTAATTTCCAATATCGTGCAGCCCTAATTTTCCTGATATATATCCATGTAGATGTGATCGTTCCTTTGCAGTGTAGTACTAAAACCCTCCATCGGCTTGTTTGTTGTTGTTGACGACGTAGAAGCTTTGACACTGAATTATGTTTTTGTCTCTGGAGGAAACATGTGAATGGACCCACAGCTGTGAGGAAGCACAACCACACACACACACACACACACACACACACACACACACACACACGGCTCACTCTGTACCACAAAGTTACTGTTGTGCGTGTATGTTTCGCTAAACAACTGTTCACCGCATTCAGAAAATCATTTGCATTTGACGGAAGTTCTACCGATACTCTCTTTGTATGGTGGCAAATGCAAAACAGAGATGCCAATTAGATGTGCTGAATATTTGACTTAATTTTCCTCCATAAATACTAGAAGAGGGACCACTCCATGTTGTCTATGTTCTATAATAATTTAAAATTCGTGTAAGGCGTTATTCAGGCTGAGAGCTGAGTGAAGGTGGCCCTCTCTATTTCACATTTATGTCTGACCTAATCTAAACAGATCTAAAAATTTGACAGAGGCTAAAAATACATGCATGAGGAAATCTGAACAATGTATTAAAATTTAATCCATAGTTGCTTGCGCTCAAAAGATGTATTGTTGTTTCAAAGTTTGGCAACCCAGCCATAAGATAAGATAAACTTTATTGATCTCACACTGGAGAAATGTATATGTCACATTTGGCAAAAAGACAGAAATGTGCAAACATGTTAAAGGTAAAGAAAATAGTCTGTGCAGGAGATAATTATGTACAATAAAAAAGTTGCAATAAAAGAGAGTACTAATGGCAGTGCAGGTTTTTTTTGCGTTTGTGTGTGTGTGTGTGTGCTTTTTCACACATTGTTTATTTAAAAAAAGTCTTATTTGAATCTATTTGAATATTTTTTTTTACTGCAAATGGCAAATAAACGGAATCTGAATCTGAAATAAAAATTGGTAATGTAGTAAGCCAAAGAAAGAGATTTTATAGTTGTGCTATACTTCATTCTGACTTATCCTGTGTTGTGTGATCCTCATTCTTCAGTAACTTGTGATGCAACACTGAAACTTCCAGAAGGATTTCTTACACTTTATCTTTACAATAGTACGGTGTTTAATAATTGTTCTTGATTGTGTTTCAGTGCTGATGTGCGCGGCCGGGCAGTCCATGAACCGCTGGAGTCTGGAGGAGCTCGTCAAGAGGGATCCGGACAACTTCATCATTCTGCTGCAACAGCTTCTCAAGAAAACCAAAGAGGTCGGACAATAATGATAATTAAAGCCGCAAGCGGCGATGAAAGGCCTCGCCCCTCTTGCAACCGCCTCCTGGGCGCCAGTCCCACAAGCGTCACGCCGATAAATTGGCAGCCCGATCTGACCAGGATTACGTATATAAAAGCTCATTTATATGATACAGTGCATCCCTAGTGGTCACCTCCGGGACATGCACCCTCTACGTAGAGTAGTATTTTGCTCGTACAGATGTAAAGATTTGATTTTGCAACTTTGGTGAAGATCGGAAAAGTTTAGGTCAGAAGCCTTCCATAGGTGGCGCTGTAGAGTCATATTAGGTGTGTGTTTTCACACCATTACTCTCAGGTCATTACCAACTGTTAGCGATGTGAGTTTCAGCTCTGTAGGTCTGAGCCTGTGGTCAGGAGAGCATCAAACATGGAGAAATTCCCCACTACCTCGCATGAAAACGATAACAAAATTCTAACTTTTATGCGATGATTGCATAACTTCAATCCGTCCAGATGGAGACATGACATGGTAGAAGTCTGTGCGATGAAAATCCAGGGACTAGTACGAAGCCAAAAATGCGACACCTTGAACTGCCTGTAGGTGGCGCTGTTGCACTCACAGTTGTGTGTTGTATATCGTTGTGTTCAGGGTCATACGCTGTATTACTGAATTCATTTTTAGCCTCATCGGACAAACATTTTGCCCCAAAAAGCTCATTCATTCACTTTCCGGCGCCCCCAGTGGTCAGGTGTAGGACTTACAACTTTTGCGTAATGTAATGTTTTGCTCGTCTCGGTCCAGAGAATACACTCAGCGATTTTCGGGCCGATCCGAGCACTAGTGTCCTATTATTTTCCGACAGGTGGCGCTAAAGAGCTCATATTGGGCGAATGATTTTAGTGTCATTGCGTTCAGGCCATAACCTAATATTACTGATGTGAGTCTCAGCTCTGTAGGTCTGAGCCTGTGGCCCTCAGGGCTCAGCGAAAATGGCCAAAACGAAGGCCTTATTCGCCATGGCGAGGGACGAAAACGGTGAAGATTTTCTAACTTTTTTTTGATGATTATATAACTTCAATCCGTCCAGAGCGGGAAATTACGTGGTAGAACTCTGTGTGATGAAAAACCAGGGACTAGTTCGAATTTATAAATGACAAGTCAAATTAGTGGCGAAACTTCGGCCCCTCATGGCCGACTTCCTGTTGGTCCCAGACATGTGCTTAGAACGGCTTTTATGCTCGACTCATAGAGATCTATCACTCATCCAAATTTCGTATACCTACTACAAAATTTGAAAAAAAATCCCCAGAGGGTCAAAAAAAATGAAATTTCTAGGGGGCGTTATAGAGTCGGCGAGCGTTGGACAATCTGGAAACGTTCATTTTATCAAATGTTTCGCCGAACCGGTCGTTTTAGACCCCCCATGTGCAGACTTTCGTGCATGTCTTCAGGGTCAAAAATCGAATTGAAGTTGCGGAAAAAAAATAAGTATTATAATATGAAACCGGTGAATAACAATAGGCCTCCCCAATACTTCGTATTGGCTCGGCCTAATAATTCCACTTTCATTATTAGTAAATAAGTAATGTTTATTTACAAAGCGCATTTTACAGACCAATGTCCCCCCAAAGCACTTTAAATTTTTTCAGAGTTCAGATATTGTTCCAATCACTCCAGATCACAGAAGCGAGACGCCGGACACACTGGTGCATGAAAGCCTCCAATCAACACCATCCATTCACTCGTTCAGACCTATTGTGCATGTTTTTAGTGGTAGGACAAACCGGAGCACCCGGAGGAAACCTACGCAGTCACGGGGAGAACATGCGAACTCCACTCAGAAAGGCCCTGTTCCGACTGGGATTCGAACCCAGGACGTTCTTGCTGAGAATTGTTATGAAAAAATACAACAAAACAATAACATATCCGCTAGATCTTGTTTTGTCGTTCAAATATAACTAGTTACAAGCGGGTAGAGAAAAAAACAAAAAAATCTGCACATTATACAATTTTCAAAAACAAGAACATGGACATCCATCCATCCATCCATTTTCTTCCCTTTAATCCATTTCTGGGTCAGGGGGGTGGCAATCAGAGCTGCCACCCAAGTCTCATAGCACCAGCCCCTCACTGACCCTCTGCAGGTGGTGAGTCCACAGGAGGACGGCTGCTCTCTGAGTGAGAGCATAGCCTTGATCTTTCAGTGGGGGCTTTGGGCAAAGTGGGGTTAAGTGTCTTGCCCAAGGACACAACGACAGCAGTCATCAGTGGGAGTCGGTGGAGAAGGTGGAGAGGTGGGAAATGAACCCACGACCTTCTGGCCTTAAGGCCAATGCTCTACCTACTGAGCTACTGTCGCCCCTGTAGAACATGGACAATCAAATGCAAATTTCACAAGACTGAAGGGGAATAATTTACTGTCATTGTCTCTGGCTGTTAGGGCTTTGTGTTTTACCTATTTGGACCATCATTTTCTTCTTTTTTCTTTCTTTTTTAAAACAAATGCCCAACTATTGGTGCATGAACTGTCCTATACAAATAAACTTGCCTTGCCTTTAACCTCAGACAATCTCTAAATAAAGGCCAACGACCTGCTTCACTAAACCCCACCACACTTTTTAACCATATCGACTGTTTCTCCCACACTAATTATGTCTCTTTTTTTCTGCGTTAAAACAGGTCCAGGAGCAGTGTCAATATGAACTGGTTGCTCCACTCGCCATCATGTTTTTCTCCACTTTACTCCAGGTGCACAGGTTTTTAGAAAGCTTTGATAATTGTGAGTGTTGTTATATTTAGAGGCTTTAAACAAAAGCAACAAAAGCAGGTATTAAACAACACAAAAGCAGGTATTACAACGGAACAAAAGCCAGAATAAAGAAACCTTTTTTGATTGGTCTATTGACATTTTTGAGAAACCTAAAAATGGGTTTGAAATCTTGAAATACTCCACTCTGTATCAAAACAATCTAGACTAACCGATTTCTGAAATGACTCTTGAGATTGTATCAATAATGGTGAGATGACTGAGGTGTGAGAAATTTCCCCAAACGCCATGTGCTGCTAACCACATTTTTAACAATTTTTACATGATTGAAAGAATATTGATACATTCTATATATACTTTTTGCATCTATTTTTAAAGGCCTTTACTATAAATGATACTCTCAATATGCTACCAGTCTGAAGACCTGTTTATTCGCAGACCCCACACTGCCCCCCAGACACAGATCTGCTCCATAAAGCTGTGGAGGTGTTTCGAGAGTTCCTCACGTGGCCGGAGCCGTACAGCAGTGTTTGTAAAAGCCTCCTCAGCGCACTGCAGCTGGAGATCAAGGTCCCAGGTAATATTTTATTCTGTATTCCAGGGGTCTTCAACCTGTAGCCCGCCAGCCCCTTTCAGGTAGCTCCTCAAAGGATTTAGAATTCAACACATGATCCTGAATGATTCACTTTTGAGTCATCACATTATCTATTATTTAAGTATAAATACAGGGTTAAACATTTTTATGGTATATTATGCATGTGTCTTCTATGTTTTGCAAAATGATTACATAGATTTAAATTATGAGTGCAAAAAAGATATAGCTCATTGCCTCTTCTGTTCTATAAAAGTATCTCTCCGATTGAAGAAGGTTGGAGACCCCTGCTGTATTCATATAGTCCCCCCTCTTGTGGACAAGAGAAGAACTGCATGTAGATCAAATGTGTACAGAGAAAACAACCAAAGCCCTCATCAAAATTCAGAAAAAAAGCTCATTTGTTTTTCCTTGTGTGTGTTATTTGACCTTTTTATGAGATGGCTCTAATTTCATGCTTTTGCAAAACAAGTGAGAATTTAGTGATACGGTTTTGCTTTTAAGATTAGGATTCAGATTACGACATCCTTTATTTGTCCAACAGAGGGGAAATTTCAGTGTTGCATTCTGCCCACTGTGGGACCAAAAAATTATGTCTTAATCTCAATCTTAATAATGGTATAATGGTATCAATACATCTTAAATTGGTATTAATCCAGCAAGCATTGATTGAAAGCAGTTTTCTTTGTACATTTCTGGGCTCAGTGAAGTATGGCTGTAATGAGTGACTATTGTGATACTATTGATTAGCTGTTAAGATCAGAAAAGGTCTATAAATATGTTTTTTCTGCCACTCAGAACATGGCATCTGCATTTTGGGTTTGGGAAATAAACACTGCTTTTCTATTTTTACTGTCAAAGGAAGTGCTAGAGAGAAACCTTTTGTGTTCAAATGACAAAAGAGATATGTTACAAAGTTGTGTGGGTTTTTCTTCTCTTCTCAGGAATATCGTTTCAGAGACTTGTCCGAGAGGAGCAAGGCGTGGGCTCTTCAGGCCACTGTTCCAAGACGCTGTAAGTTTTGTGTCCAAATAAGTGTCCTCACATGGTTGGCTTTTGCTCGTGTTCCTTCCCACAGCAGAGCCACAGGGAGAGCACAAGACAGTGTGAGCTGGTGGGGCTGAGATTATTTTATCTAAAAATTGAAAACGTTTTTCTCTGTAATTCCTCCGTTATTTGACACAAAACACAATAGTTTAAGTGAAATTTAAGGTTGCGTTTATGTTGAAGAATTCTATTTCAGTTGGAGGGCAGGTGCTAATACAAATAGATGGGAAAGAAGCAATTTTACGGAAGAAATGTTTTTAGATTGTGATTATATTCACAAATCCACCATATTATTCTCATGTTTGAAAGTCCTCTCTGTCTAATAATGCATGCATGTTTTTGATTATTTTCAACACTTCTAGACACCTTTTTATGATACAATAATTAGACCATAGTTTATTATGTACTGACAAAGAACATGGTGAACGTTGTGACAGTTTCACGTGGATCGGCTCAGAAATTACAGAGAAATGAGCTCTAAAAAGGAGATGTGTGACCTTTGGCAATTACCAGGAAAGATAACTGTCACCTGCCCTCATTTCCATTTTAAACCATTGGCTCTTTAGAATGTGGTGATGTCACATAAACACAACCTATACACGACTAAAATAAACAACTGTATCATGGATTTAGCGTGTTTTGACCCTTTAATTTATTACTTTTAAAATATTATTCGACGTGAAGGGCCTTGTTTTTGTGGCCTCAGTGAAATGATAGCAAACCCCTGGACTTCTCTTACCCGTTTTAAATATAGGATGTCAATTGCTGACTAATAATATAGCTCAACTTTGCTTTTACTGCTTTTGTTTTACTTCTGCCTTTTGAACAATTGGCTTACGGTCAACAGTCCATATCTAATTTCGCGATTGACTGGAAAAGAAAACGGAACATATGAGTTTATGTCACATCCCTTATAGAATGAATGAGCGTGTTGTTGTAAAACCAGTATACATGACCCGCTGTGTTACAGGACTGTCCTGCTGATGAACCCGGAGGTCCCTGCAAATTTCCTCACCGTGGCGGAGCAGCTGAGCCGTGTGCAACACTCGCAACACGAGACCAGCATCACTCTGATCAAACACGCCTTTCAGTCCGTGCTGGGGGCCAAGTACCCTCTGCAGAGCATACACAAGGCCTTACAGGTGAAACTCCGCCGGCTGCTTTATACACACACTGGAAAAGGTTTAGATACTCCAAAAAAATGTTACGCGCAGAGAGCGCGCAGTAAACGCGTACGCGCCGTTTACGCCTACTGTGTAAATTCCCCGTTAGAATGAGAAAAAAAAGCAACAGTTTTTGAAATGAGACTAAATGGCTTTGTCCCATTACGAGAGTCAGAATATACTCAAATTGAGATAAAACTCCCAATTATTACCTCATATTTGATCACTTTTTGCAGTGCAGCTTTACAGACTGTACTCTAAACTGCTGTTGTTTGCTCTTTAGGATAAAAGTGTGGCTGAAGTGGATAAAATCTACTGTGCGTTAAACGACCTGTTGGAGACCGCTGCGTCTTTGAATGATCCGGAGCAGAGTCGGGCTCTTGTGATTGAGGGACTGGAGGCTCTGAGGAAGAACATGGAGATCCCAGAGACCAACAGGAGCAAGCGTGATGGTAAAGACTGTGGTTTTCAGGGACACCGTTTCAAGCACTTTTTATATAGACGCTAGGTACAAATGAAGATAGAGGAACTGTGAATCATGTTGTCATGGCAATGGTGACGGCAATGTTGCGTGTGGAGCTTCAGTCAAACACACAACATGCTGTTCAAATAGAGTCGGGATTTGTTTTTTATGTTATTGCAAGTAACAGGAAGTCACGAACTAGAAATTGGCTTTGACTCATGGGCACAAAAAGGCATGCCCTAAAAAGTCTTCATAACAAATTCTTTTTTTTGTCTGTGTCCGTGTTGCTATGCACCTCGAGTCTGCAAACAAAGTTATCTATCTATCTATTTAAGTACACACTATAGACATTTAAGAGTAGTGAATGTTTTGGACTAAAATGAACTCAAAATAGTGTAACTCAGTAAACTGTAATATTGTAAGACAAATAAATTAGTTGTATTCCTGTAAGCAAATACTACAAACTAAAAATTCAACTATAGCAGGGTTAGCTCGCCAATCCTCAGCTCATACCTTTGTAACGTAGCTTCACTTGCTTTTCTTGTGTGCCCTCCATGATAGAAATTGCAAAGACAAAGGCAGATCCATCCAGAAAGTTGCATAATTATATTCAACTTCATTGCAGACTCTAGGTCCAATTTAAAACATACAGACAAGACAAAAGAAAATAACAAACAAACAGCGTGCACCTATAATCTATAATGTAGAGTTACAGCATGTTAGCAAGCCAACACAGTTAGACATCTATTCATCAGAACATCAAACTGATTTATTCTAAATTAAAAAATAAATTACAAGATAAGATCAACTTTATTGTCCCAAGGGAAAACAGTGCTACACAGATCTGCATGAGTGAATACACATATAAAGGAACATTACAGGAAGAAAACCATAAACAGGAGAGTGCAGTAGTGCTTTGAAGTCTGTTTGGTCCAAAATATTACAGACAATCATAGTTTTTTAATGCATTTTAACTGTTTAATTGTTTTAATGCATACAAGTTTTAATGGGTTATATTTAAACTTATGGTGAAGCGCTTTGGTCGCCTTGAGTGTTGTAAAGGGCTCTATAAATACAATTGATTGATAGTAACAGATTCATTAATATGACTTTTCTTAAATCTTTTTCTAAGGAATGCTGCAGACGTTACCACTGCCAACAGCTAAATGTCTCATGTTCAACTGGGATAAAGACAACTTCGGTAATCACGATCAATATACTGTGGAGGAGGGTGTCAAACTCATTTGGGTTGGGGGCCAGAAGTATAACATTGGTTTTCTATCATCCCTTTATTTTAATTTTATTTACCAACAATTTAATTGTAATTGACATGAGTTTGGATATTATTTTCGAATATCTTTGGATGCAACCACAACGCGGCCAAATATCAAGAATAAGATGTGTTGGAAGACTGATGCAGTAAGCAATGTTGTTAGCTTAGCCGTAGCACCAACTCGGAACCACTCCCCCCTCCCCTCGCCTCTCCTTTCCACCAAACCAAACATCCAGCATTTTCTTTTCTTTGTCACAACAAGGAGAGTGGGTGGCAAACGTGAAATTGGCATTTGGCAGCTCTTTTAGGTTTTAGAAAATCCAATTGGTTTATTTTTATCGTCCGCTCCAAAAGATATATATATTTTTTTTTAACAATAGGCATCTGGTCAATTACATTACTATTTGAAAACACATGATTACTTGACTACTTTTAGGGTTTAGGGACGTTTTCCCACAATATTTAAAAAAAATGCGTCTAGAGAAAAATCACTGCAACTTTAATATAAAATAAATCTTAATCAGGGGCCACTAAAAATGATCTTGCGGGCCGGAGTTTGACACACCTGCTGTAGAGTATCTATGTCATTATTGATATAAAGTAGTCATGGGCATGTCCCAGCCCTGTATTCTGATGACTGTGGTTATTCCAGACGTCCTGAACACTCTTCTGGACAGCGACCTGGCTTACGTCCCCTCCACCTGCGAGGCCGAGGAAGAGGACGAGTTTGAGCTGGATGTGGATGAAGAGACTACATTTAATTTGGAGGAAAAAGAGGACCCACGGTTATCCTCACTAACGCGGGACTATAGGTCTGACCACCGAGCGTCCACCATCTCCTCACTGTCCACCGCCTCCAAAGACTCCATGTTCTCCACCTTATCCATCACCTCGGAGTCTTACGCCGCTTCGCTTCTCTCTTCCGGAATCGACAGTGACTTTTGCGACGACTTGGAGGATTACATCTGCCCGTCGCCCGCTGTAGACAAGTGCTCTCCAAAATCGGTGAACAAGACTCGGTTAAGCCAACACTTTCACAGACTGTTTCGACCCAAGAGTCCTCGGCTCTTGTACCGAGCGAAAAGTTTGGGGAACTCTGAATCCAAAGACCTTTTAGTCTTGCGAGAGAAGCGGTCGAATTCACTCCCCCAGCAGGTCCACTTGAGGAGTCTGGAGACGCAGCTGAACTCGCAAAACCAAACCCTGAGACATGTATGTTTTAGACGGAGACCTATTCTGAGCAGTGACGACGACAGTAAGAACGCAACGCTGCGGGTGGTGGTCTTTGGAGCGGACCACGTGGCCGGGAAAGTGGCCCGAGCCTACTCCAGTCTGCAGAGGAGAGAGAGCGCCAGTCCTCACCTGTCCCGCGCCTTCAATCTGCAGTTCTACTTTGTGCCAGTGAAGAGAGACGGGTCGAGTCCGAACAGCAGCGAGAAGGGAACTTCACCGAGTCACGTAAGTCATTATGTGTACAGCGTAATGGCCTCTGAAGCTGTGCAGGGCAGGGCCTGGTTAGTACCGTGATGGGAGACCTGTGGGTGTCCTCAGGCAAGACACTCCCCCCACATTGCCTAGAATGAGTCTGGTGTGTGTGTGGATGGCTGGTGGTGGTCGGAGGGGCCGATGGCTTATACTGGTTGCCTCACTTCCGTCAGTGTGCCCCGGGGCAGCTGTGGCTACCGTAGTAGTTTATCCCCACTGTGTATGGCGTGAAAGAATAATGACATGTGAAGCGTTTTTGAGTGTCCTGAAAAGCGCTATATAAAACTGTCCGTCCATCCATCCATCTTCTACCCCATTGCCACCCTCCTGACCTGGAAATGGATAACCAAACTGCCACCCAGTACCCATTTATAAAACAAATGCATTATTATTATTATTATTAAATCAACCAGGGGTACGGGGACTACCGGGGTACATGGAAATGATTTTGGATTTATTGGTCTTGTAAATTGGATATTATTTGAATGGAAATTAGCAGGAGGATGCAGGAGGGTCAAAGGACAGTGGTGATGATCCAGGAAATGTAGCGATATTTATGGATATAGACGAATATTATGGACATTGGTCATCCTCCCCTTGTGTTACAATATCACTGTGTTTTTATCATTGCATTTCTTGTGGTTGAACAGTTATATTCTCTGATCTCTGTTGGATGAATGGACAACTTTGTAAGGCCTTCCGAGATAACGACTGTTATTTAGGGCTATACAAAAATGAATGTAATTTAATTGAAAAAAGCTCTTTAGAGAACACAGACAGTACATAGCAAATATATCCAACCATTGACACCGCTATAATAGTATACAGTGTTCAACTCGTGTAATAGTTTTATGTAAAAGGATTCTTTGTCATCTTTGTTTTCTTTCCTTGTTGGTTCCTTGTTGTTCAGTAAGTATTTATTAAATGACGTTGTTTCGTATGTTTGGTGGTTGTAGGATGCCACTCTGATGGAAACAGGAAGCAGCACTAATGACATTGCACACCTTCTGGGAATGTTGGATCCTTGGTACGAGAGGAACACACTGAGTCTCCTCAACCTGCCTCCAAATGTGGTCTGCCAGGTAGTACAGCCAAACTAAGATCTAGTTCAATACAAATATAATATAGAAAACCTGATTAAATTTACTTTTTTTGCAGCAAACTTCAAAGACCGAGTCGGACTCCTACGACAGCTCGTATGAACAGCGTTTGCCGATTCTGGCAGACCTGCTGCTGTATTACTGCAGATTCGCGACCAGGCCCACCCTCATTCAGCTTTACCAGGCTGAGGTTAGCAAACAACACAGATTCTATTGCATGTTGATTGGTCAGAATGGATCAGCTCAAGTGTGAAGGCGCCTGTTCAGTTTTCTTGAAGTAAAATGGTTCTCTTGAGACTCCAAATCAGCTAACTGAAGTGCAAGAGTGCAGAAATGTGTGTGATCAGATTCTGTTTTTTGTTTTTTTAAGGAAGCTACTAAATCAATCAATCAATCAATCTGTATTTGTAGAGCCCCTTTAATACCCAGGGCAACACAAAGAGCTTCACAGTCCACATCACACAAGGCTCAAATCATCACATAAAACAAATACCAAAATCTCCATTTAAAACAATCAAAAAAATCACACAGGTAATTAAAAACACACAGGTAATTAAAAACATTAGAACATTAAAATCACACAAGGGATTAAAAATAATAAAAAATAACCACCGTGCATTAAAAATAGATACAAATCTTCACTTGTAAGCACAGGCAAATGAAACAGTCTTTAATATAAAGTGTAGTTTTGAAGTAGATGATGATGACAATTAAAATGGTGGTGTTGTTCTCTACATAGCTGACATTTGCGAGTGGAGAGAAAAGAAGTGAAGTATTCGTTCACTCCCTGGAGCTGGGTCATGCTGCAGGAACACGAGCTGTCAAAGCCATGGGTAAGTTTGTTGTCCATAGCAACAGCCCAGAAATATAAATATAGCCTAACTATCCATTTTCCATCATATTCTCAGGACAAATCTGTAATAATACTTTAATGGAAGAACATCTGCTATTCTAATGTCATGAATCACTTTTCTTTTTAGTTTGACTTGTGTCACCAGAGCTGGTTTCACTTGGCTACACATGCTTCTTACAGACTAATATGTAATGCTTGTTAATGAATGTGTAATTTTCTGCTTTTAGGAACAGCCAGCAAACGGTTTGGCATTGATGGTGATAGAGAAGCTGTGCCTTTGACACTGGATGTGGTTTACAACAGGGTAAGAATAAATATTATACAAAATTAGTACAACGATAGAAAAGTTTTTACGATGAATGCCACACACTCAGGTTTTTGCCCTTTTCCCCTCATGCAGGTGGTCGTCAGTGGGAGAAGCCAATGGAAAAGAGAGAGCAAAGTGTGTACGTCAGTGAGCCTAACCAAAGCATGTAGAAACCCAGAGGAGCTTGGTATGATGATAACATAGGCCATTACCAACATAACTGTGTGGAACTATTAAAAGAACAAATGTTGTTGTCTTTCTCAGACTCGAAGATGGAGTACCTGCAGCTGTCAATGACTGAAGTCATAAAGAGACAAAGTGGAAAAAGCAAAAAGAGCTTTAACCAGGTATGCTCTCTGTGATAGTAACTTATGTCTAAGAATTAAAGACCCACGCAGCATAACGTGTATTTAATAGTTATTTTTTAGTTTATTTTAGCAGTTTTATAATCTGAATAATCATGAAGTGTTGTGTCCTGGACAGCAGCTCAGTCTGAATGAGGTGAAGGTGGATAAAGTGCAGATCACGGGAGACGACAACACGTTTGCTGTGTGCCTGGACCAGGATGAGAAGAAGATCCTGCAGAGTGTCACCAGGTTGTGATCAAGATAAAAATACTTATCTGAAGAAGCTGCACATTGTGACGTATGTGTTTGAGCTAAACTGTGTCTTTCCACAGGTGTGACATATCAGTGTGCTATAAGACTGACCGCTCCAGCGACTGGACGCTCAGAAGACCCAAGTCCTCGGCCCAGATTCAGCCTCTGAACCCCAGCTTTTGCTCCCTTCTGTGCCTGCCCATCGTCACCTTCAGCGGGGCTCTTCCCTGAGCTCCACAAACTACTGGGACATTTACAACACTTTAAACATTTCTAAAAAAATACATAACATGTTATGTTGTTTAAAACATAACAAATTTGTAGATTGTCAGGTTAAAGCAGTGTGCAATGGATACAGGAATCATTGACTTGATTTTAACAGAAATTGTCTTTCTTTTAATGTTATAACAAATGTATGTATGTAATTTATAGTTGAACTCAATGCACATGTACATTTGTAAATTGTGTACATAAATTTGTACGGTTGCAAAACAGTGTGTGAATTATTGTGAATGTGGGGCGAGAGGTGCTGGGTAAAATTCTAATTGTAAAGGATGGCGATTATATTGCCCACTGAAATGCCCGTGATGCAGATTAACATCCTCCTGATAATCCAATAATTTAATCACGAGTAGACCCCCAATGAATAAAAAGATAATAATCACAATTGATAAAAAAAAAAAAAAACAATGGAAATGCATGAAAATACAAATAATTGTTTCACCACCCTCAGGACATAATAATTATTATAATAATAAATGTAATTTACATTGTACCTTACATTTACAGGAAACCTCAAAGTGCCACGGATTAAAACACTGTAAAAACAAAAACATCAGAAATACATAAAACATTGATATTAACAGTATACTGCAGTTGTGAAACTGACCAGCAGGGGGAGCTGTTACATAGAGTATCGGCGCCCAGTGCATAGTAAACGGACCGCATAGATCTCATATCTTCTATAGTATGAGTTCATTGTGCTAATACTCAGATCCCTCAGATTTTCGGACGCGGAACGCAACGATTTCCGTGTAGTAAAAAGCATGTCAGTGAAATAGATTATTATATGCCGAGTTCTTATACCAGTTGTGGAAACGTGACTTGTGGATATATTCTATGATGTGACTGAGATCCATGAAATGTTGTCCTCATTGTAAAAAACACTGACATAATCTCTCTCACGTCATTGGCCACTGTGAACGGGGCGTGGTCTATTGACAGCCTTCGTTGCACGCGCCTGAGGTGAGCAGAGGAAGAGCGCTCCTCACCACTGGTAAGTCATAACGTATTTTTATCGTTTCGACTGTTATCGATATTATTGCCGAGGTTTTGCATATAGCGCCATAATGCATTTAGTTTTGCCTATTACCTTAAGCTTTTTAGTTCCTCGTTTGGATTTCGTGCACTTGAATATTTCACATCACTATAAGCCTGATAACGGAAATAGGATTTTAAGTTTTGGGGATATCTCGTGCGCTGGAAAAGTATTTAAAACATGCCTTTGCTGTGAGTGTTGCATCTCCACAAACATGGCCTCTACCTGTCCAACGAAAGACTTTATCTTCAGATCTCCATATAGGCCATGATGTTACGTACCGTTGCTTTACAGGGTGCCCCCCCCCCCCCTCAAACGCAACAGGACAGCTCTGTTTTTTCCTCTGCCTTCAAGTTTTGATTTCAGTGGTTAATCTGATTGCAGATCAGAGGCTGCATGGACTTCTTCCTGCTTCCTTGTTTTATTTTAGATGTGTTCTTGTTCCTGACACCACTTTGAGTTCACGGTGATGCAACTCTGAGTCTCACATTTGCAGTCAGGATTTCAATCACATTATACATTGTTGTGACCTTTGACAATAAACACAGATTATACCATAGTAATTATTATCTCATAGTGTCCCCCTCTGACGTAATTCATTGAAAGACTACTATATTATGTCCCCAGAAATTGTCTGAGCTACAGAAGTTGTTGTCCTAACGGTGCAAAACGCTTATGATAATGTAAAAACGTCAAAGTCTTTAGCCTTATGCAATCTGCTCTTGTCTTTTCTGTGACAATCCAAAGCATTATTGTGTTATTTATTGCTGGTGTGATGGTCTGCTGCAGTGCTGCCTACAGGACTATGATAAGATAAGAATTCCTTTATTCGTCCCACAGTGGGGAAATTTCGATGTTGCATCGCAAATATAGGACAGTAGTAAGAGCACACAGGGATCACACACAATATATACACTATATACAAATAAGTAGTAGCTATGTTTCTTAGCTAACATAACTAGCTGTAGATGCTGAAAATGCTTCAATACCAGTCAAAAAAAAATATATGTAGTTGTGCAGTTATATACTGTACAGTTAAATAGTGCAGGATAAAAAGTATATAAGTAAAGTGACATTGTTCTGACAGGATTGACAGGATCTGACAGGATTGTTGTGACATCCTGAAGTTGCAGTATTGCACATTGCACATGATTTTAAGAATGTACTTAATTAAAGATGAATGACATTTACAGGCTCAGCAGTTCTTATTGTACAGTCTATCTCGCATAATAGACTGAGCTGTGGCTTATAAGATAGATCAGATGACTTGAAGTTCCAGGTTAGGATAGACTTTATTATTGATTTCACAATACAAAAATAAATATCTGTGGGACCAAAAAGAAAATCCCACTGTTACGATGCATCTTTAAACAATGCACAACCAACACAATGTGGCTCTTCGATACCAGACGATTGTAAGATAGCGATGTTATTGCCTTTTTACTAGAGTCTCACGAGGAAGACTAGATGAATCCTCCTAAACTAGAACACAACCTACTCAAAACAAGTCACGTTTGAGTTATAATTTGAAGAACTAAATATTTATTTTTATTTTTTCATTTTTTTTATTAAAGACCACAAACTAGACAAACACAAACATTCAACAAGAACACAACATAAAACAAAAACACAAAAGTACAACCCCAAACAGAACAAACGCAAAGACAAAAAGACAAATTAAAAAAGAGAAGAAGAAAAAAATAAAGAAAGAAAAACAATAAGTACATGTTTGTAAAATTACCGAAAGTTGAGATGACTTATATTTGTAATTGTAAAAAAAACAAAAAGATAATAGTTCTTAGAATATGTCTATAAAACAGCTGCACACTGACAGGGCTCTGTTCTGTCAGTGCTCAGCCACACATTGCTCCTTGTGTCTCACTAATGGTTTCTTGTGTGGCCTGAAGTGTGATGAATGCACACTTAAAGAACTGTAACTGCTGAACTTGAATCTAGACTATAGTCTGTGTTGGCTCATTTTACCCTCACTGACCTCTGGAAACTCTAGTTGTGGCAAACCAAAACCTTTGTTACTAAATATCATTTTTAATTTCAAATCCTGTGAATCTAATGTTTGTATGTGTCTTAACTTTTTTGCATTAAAAATCAGTAAAGGAAAAAGTATTACCGTCAGATACATCAAATATTCAATAGTAAATTATCATCTTCTGGTTTAAAGGGGCATTATGTAACTTTTTATGTGGGAATGAAAATATATTTTGGCTTATTTGACCTTGTAGTAACCATGCACCTGTAATGAGTGGTCCGCATGGTGCCTTTACTCCCCATCACAGTGGTCTCTGTAGGATCAAATCTTTGGGTGGTTTCCCTGATTTTAATGTTTGTATTTACCTGTGTAATTCTAATTGTTATATGTTTAATGGTTTTTGTTTGTTTTTAATGCCCTGTGATTTTAATATTCATGATTTATGTGATGATGTATACTTTGTGTGATATGGGCTGTGAAGCTCTGTGTTACCTTACTTATGTAGGAAAAGCACTTTAAAAATAATTGAAAGTAAAGGCGCTATGCTGACCACTTACAACCACTGGGTCCCTTCAAGGTCAAATAATCAAAAAAATACACTTTTTTCACATAAAAACTATGTTCCTTATACAGTATATGTTGTCATGTGAGGGGAGGGTGAGGGGAGGCGATCTCCAGATATGGTCTTGAATCAAACCCTGAACCGTCTCGCTGTGAGAGCGCCATTCACTTTTCCAAACCTGTTTTATGAATCCAGTGGTGACTCTGCAGACCACACGTACCACACACAGCTCCTCAGGAAAGACCCTTGTATTTACCGTTTCCTATTTGTCTTCCTCCGACTGATGGATTTAGCATGCTAATCCATTCCAGTGGTAATCATTCTTGTTCATTTTATTCTGACACACACATTGGTTTGCGTGACCAACTGCTTCCATATGCTGCATGCAGGATTGTGGACGTTCTCTGGTCCTGGTACAAGTATCCTTGCAGAACTTTACCCTTTTATGTTCACTCCTTAAAGAATACATTGTAAATTGATCTGTTTTTGATTTTCTGAGATGTAGGACACTACACAATTTTTTTTAAATTATTGTCCTGGGTTGAGATGCAGTTCGATGTAAAAGTGTCTAAAACCAGTGATAGATGCAACAATGAGGTATATAGATTTCAGTCCAAGCTACAAATCGATAAAAAGTGAAAAAGTGATCCACCGAATGGTCGAGGAAACCATTAAAGGGTTAAAACACATGGTCCCACTGAACATCCCCATATTGTGCTTAACCTTGATAGAGGATATTGCTTTTTAATTGATATCAGCTTTCCCTATAGTCTTTCTGAAGTCATCCAACTTGAATGGGGCTGTTTTTGGCCAACATAAGCTAAGCTCTTGTCCAGTTTGTGGATGAGTTTGTAGAAAATTAATACAAAATGAATGGTCCTAAATATTAGTCCATCTTCTTTTTCCAATTAACAAAAACAGAACATGAAAAAAAAAAAATAAAGGATACTAATTGAATACGAACTACTACTTATTACTAATTACATGGGGAACATATGTAGGGCTGAAACAACTAATCGATTAATCGACGACTAATCGATTATTGAAATAGTCGACAACTATTTTAGTAATCAATTAATCGTTTTCTGGTTCACACGGACTCAAACAGAGCAAAAATGACATGAAAATGTAGTATTTTTGATTAAAACCAACTTTGTTTTTATAATTCATGAATATCTGTCTGTCTCATCCAATCCGAGCAGAATTAGCACAAAGAGCCTGTTACAAACATTTACTTTAAGTTTACGCCATCAATACGTCCTCGAGTGTTGCCACTTTAGCTTTTTGTGATGAAAAAATAATTGTTTTCTACACAATTCACAGCCAAGCAATTACTCGATTAATCGTAAAAATAATCGATAGATTAATCGATTACAAAATAATCGTTAGTTGCAGCTCTAAACATATGACAAGATTATATACTTCATAACCTTATACTACTGTCACTTTTACTGCACTGTTGTCTGTTATCTGTACTTACTGTGCACTTGTATTTAGTAGTCATTTTAAGAAATTTTATGAAGATTTTTTATGCATGCCTTAAATCTATTTTTATTTTTATAACTAGTTTGCACCTTGACCCAAAGTAAATTCCTAGTTTTTGATTTACTGTTACTTTCTGATTCTAACACTTATGCCGATTGGACGAATAAGTTGTAAATGTTACTTCATGTATGACATCAGGAGTGGGCCGACACTTCCAGCAAACACAGTCTAAAGATTTAAGAATTTGGTTTGGTTTATGGTGCGTTGCGATTTCTTGCTGTCTTTTGCTTAAATCTGTAGCTGTATTGACTGTATAAGGATACTCGGATGACCATCTCCTGAGCTTCTATCAGCCATGGGGGGATTTCCACGCACACGTTTCGGACCACTCCTCTTTAGAGCACTTCCACACTTGTTTTAGCTCCTTCCTGTTTTCTGAGATCTGCTGGTGCGGATCTGAAGGTGCCATTATAGGCACATTGTTCTGTGCAGTGGCTGACCACACACAAACTGTCGGACCGAGGGGGAGAGATAACCTATGGATGCGATTTACAATTTATGTTTTAAAAGTAAACATGCATAAACCAAAAAACTTGTTTAAAATAAAAATACAATGCATTCTGTAGTTGAACCCATTTTAACCCCTTAAGAACTGTTTTTTTCTCTGATCTGTTGGCGAGTTGACAACTTTGTAAAGTCTTCCCAGAGACGACTGCTGTTGGGATTTAGGGCTGCACAAAGATACATTTAATGTAACTGATTTTTTTGGTAATAAGAATACATTGCAAAGAAATTATATTAAAAATAAAAAAATCCTTCTAATCAAAAAAATATTAATTGTTTTGGATGCCATCAATCCAAATTAGTTAAAGATCTAACATATTCATAGACTAACACTTCTGACCTTTTCAAACACTAACTAACCTTCTCAAAGGTTTTATTCTGAAGTTTTAATTGTTGTCATTAAGTTGGTAGAAATACTATATTATTGCTTTTTGGATTGTGTTCTTGTCAGGCTTTGAAAATAGTTAAACCTTTCATAACTTTTATCTTGCAGGAATCAGGAATTGGTAATGACCTAGCCTGGTTGTACCACACCTTAGTACAAATTGCATTGGTTACACACAGTGAAATGATGATTGAGCAGAGTGTACGGATGGCTATGGCCAGGCTATGACCGTGATAAGGCCTGTTACAGTAAACGTGTCAGGAATTGTGTTGACAGTGAAGGATTATATAAGCATGAAACATGGATCTTGGGCATCTGCCATCACATATCTTTTGGATTTTATCTTGTATTATAATATTAATATTATTATTATTATTAATGTAAAACCAAAGTTTACATACTTTCAGTTCCTCTTCATCTGCAAAACTGGTCTTGTGTCCAGATGCAAACTTGATAAGATGTTTTTTTATAGCCCTGTCAACTCTTTTTTTTTGGAAAGTCTAATTTTAGCTGGTCATGTGCCCACTCATTTAAGCTGAGAGGAAATGGTAGAAGCAGTATTCAGAATGTGCTGTGTTAGTGATCAGAAGGTCATTCTGTGGCTCACATGCAGGTGTAGTATTTATGCAGCACCTGCTGCTGTTTTGGTTTGCTGTAGATTCACACAGACACAGACAGTGCACTTTCAGAGAGAGAGAAATGGAATCGCGAGCGGAAACTTGTGGTCTGCCTTTCTGCACACTGCTATTCAAAGATCTGCGTTTCTTGTAGGGATCAAGACTGAAAACAACACACTTTTGTGTAGTCACAGTGAGTGGCACAATCCCAAACGCATTACAAGACTAAGCTGGAGATCTTTGACAGTGGCATGTGGCTGTAAGTTTGAAGCACAGCTTGTTTTAAGGAACCACTTGGTTCACATGGGATTCTACGCCGTGTCAAAACATTGAAATACTGTCGCATGTTTTGAATAGATTCCGTGGATGACGCATGTATTTCTCCGTCACTAAGGAGGAAACTCTTCCCAGTGATTGGCTGCTCACACTCTCTTGTGACTCCTCACCTCGGTCTGTCACAGAGGCCGCTCTGTGGAGCATGTGTCACACTGACTGCACCCTTTCTTCATGAGACACACTGTGAGTTCTTACTATGTTTTAGATTTTGACTCTGATTTCTAGTTCAGTGGTTGGTCTATTTTGTAATCTTAAACATTATCTTTTGACAAATGTTATCATTTTCTAATCTCTTCCTAGAAAGAATTTGTTCATTTGAACTTCATTAGTCTTGTTTCATGCACAGATCAATGAAGCATGTGAGACCAACGCAGCCTCCGGGAGAACAGTGTGAGCAGCATGGAGCCCGCAGGTGAACAGCACAGTCTATACTCATGCACATATCCAGACATATGTATATGTAGATTATATACACACACACACGCACGCACGCACGCACACGCACACGCACACGCACACGCACACGCACACACGCATGCACACATATTATAAAAATATTTATAATAAACCCGAAGGTAAAAGAATATAATGTTTATTTTTTGATTATCTGGGCTTGTGTAATCATTTTAAAGGGATATAAATATTCATATTTAGCCAGTTGTTCTTAACTTGTTTAATTGTCCAGGGGCCAGCTCTCCCTCTGTCCCTGAGTCAGAGTTATACCGCAGGATTCAGGCCATTCTCCCAAAAGAGTCCGACAGCTCTCACACCCAAGGCTGCTACAACAAGGGTACTTATATTTTGTTCATGTGCAATCAAATAAAATTGATCAAGTTTGTTGGTAGTTTCTTTGGTTGAAAATATCCATTGAATATTAGAGCAGGCTGAGCTCTGTTGCCATAGTCACATTTGTATGTGCACAGAGATCAACAATATTAACATTTGTGTACAGGCATGTTGAGGTGGACGCTTCATAAGAAAGTCCAGAACAATCCTGCCGACAGCTTGTCTCTGATGTGGGTGCTCATAAAGCAGCTAGAAAAGGTAGTTTTTTTTTGTTTTTTTCTTATCGGTCAAATTTATGTAGATTTAGTACAAAATTCAAGTCTTGTGAACTAAATATTTTGAGATTATTAGTGAAACACTTTGGGTTAGTACACTCTTGTTTAAAGCTGAATCTATTTTCTGCAGGCTGAAAGATGGAACAATCGAAGAGACATTATTCCACTTCTCCACACATTGATGTACGCTTTGATCCAGGTAGAGAATTCTCTGTATACGCCATACAAGTCAATGATATACTCTTTCAAATATGTGTTTGCGGAAATGCTTGTTCACTGGTTTCCAAATGTCTGAACTTGTACTTTTCTAGACGGTTTACATTCCAGATGAACTCTATAAACGAGTTTATGACTTTTGCAAAAGGCTCTTGACCTTCCCACAGCCCTTCTGCAGCATCGGCCTCAGCTGCACCAGGAACATCCGAAAGGAACAAGCCTCTCCTGGTACAATCCATATTCTAGTCTATGAAATCATTATTTATGAGTCCTATTGTGGGACTCACTTCTGTTTCCTGTTGCATGTGTTGGTGAAAGTATTAGCGGCACTCACTGGCTGCCAAGCAAAGGCTTTCTAAATACTTAAGTTTAGTTTATTGAACTTGGGCAAATTACAAAAGTATTCCCGGCAGGTGAGTACACAAAAATACACATTAAAGATGTGACATATTGAGTGGGGGTGATAATGTAAATGTACATAGAAATAAAAAACAGCAACAGGGGGAATTAGAAAAAGAGACTACAGGTACATTTGAAATATATGGCGCCGTAAAGATGGCGCCGTAAAGATGGCGCCGTGGCAAGAGCTCTGGTGTGTGTCGTCTTCTCTGTCTGGTGCACACCGGGGTAGTCTTGCACAGTTTTTCCAATGTGGTTTTACTGCAAATGGCAAATAAATGAATCTGAATCTGAATCTGAATCTGAATCTGAATATACATATCACATATTATCCCCTCATAATTATTATTCTTACTGTTTTGTTATTACAGGTCTCACTTACCAGAGGATGGTCATAGCTGAGCAGAGATTAAAAAATGATCTCTATTCGTTCCAAGAGAGGTCTGTGTCTTTGATAAATGCATCATATATTTTGAAGATACAAACTTGTATAATCTTGTATTGACTATTTGTAATCACTTGTAGAGTGTTTGTGCTGGCCGACCCGGCGGTCTTCTCCAGTTCCTTAAGTAGAGTTGTGGGCGACGACATTGAAGCGTCTGTGTTCTCTGGAGCCTCCAGAGAAAGTGCTCCTCTTTTAGACCACATGTGCCTCACGGTCCAACACTCCATCCAAGCAAACATGAGCCCAGAGCACTGCCACGGGCCCCGGCTGGCCATGGCACTTAAGGTCAGTGCACTCCAGATGAATATTACCCTGAAATTATTTGTCCATTAGGTAGAAATGTAGGATTTTTGGTTGAGATTGTCAGAACCTCTGATCTTTCATCAATTTTGTCCAACCAACTTTCTAATGGACAGCACCATGCATAGATGTTTTCAATATTGTCACCACTTTTGGACATGTGAAAAATGTATTAGACCACAGTTGAACTGTACTGACAAAGAAGACACAAAGTTTTTGTTTCATGTGGATTGACCCAGGAATTACGAGACATTATTTTCCCTCCACCACAATTTTAAACTAGGCTCTTTTGAATGTTGATCTGTCACATGAACGCAAACCTAGCTAGCATGTGTGATTTCCTAATCATTCCACATATACTAATTTCAATCTGGAGAGACTACAAGATGAGACAAGATGCATTTAAAAGATTTATTGATTGCGAGTTTTGTTTATCGTTTGTTAGTTTGGCGAATAGCAGAGGTGTCCAAACCGGTTCAGAAAGGGCTGCTGTGGCTGCAGGTTTTCTATCAGACGCAGCAGGAGCAGAGCAGACTCCACCCACTTCCTCAAGTAAATTCATTCTTAACCTGAAGATTTGAGGAAATGGGAGGAGTCTGCTCTGCTCCTGATGGGTCTGATAGAAAACCTGCAGCCACCGCGGCCCTTTCTGAACCAGTTTGGACACCTCTGGCGTATAGGCTCCGGCTGTGGCCTTGCTCTGTGAGGATCGGGGTTTCAGTCCCGGGGCCTAGACACTGGTGGTGGCAATAGGGCCAGATGGATGTGAGCATGTGAAGCAGTCCTGAGGCGGAGGTGGGGAGGAGGTGGTTGCGGCTTTATAAGGCTGTTTGGTGTGAGGTGTCCAGCCTTTAAGCGCTGGCTTTATCAGCGGCTGCAGGGAGTTAAGCTGATGTGAGGCTGAGGAAAGCGTAGGCAGTCCACCAATTTGATCTTCCGCTTAAACTTCAATTGGTCTCGAATCTACATTTGAAAATTGCAATAGACATATAATTTGTGGGGTTGATATCTCTGGGTTATCACAGAGACTCTCATCAAAGCATTTCCTTTTTAGATCCACTTAGCGGGTGGTGATCTGTGGAGGTTGTTTTCAGACTTCCTCTACTTTTTGTCAAGAGCCTTGCATGTTTTTAACCACGTCTGTACGTGTATTTTGAGACATTCTCTATGGAGGTGTTCTGGCCCACAACGTCACATCTCATGAGGACAGAGCTCCCCGTTTTTTCCCTTCTGCTGAACATGCTTATGAAGGCGTTATATATAATGTGGGTGTTAAAGTGACATCTAACTGCACTTCTGACTTTGTAGAACTTACAGTATATACAAATAATTAAGAATATTATTATACTGTCAATACTGTGGTGTTGATCCAACAGAAATCATAGTCATAACGAGAACTACATGTGTACATTTCTGGTTTCCACTATTGCACTTGTTTTTCAGAAATTGCTACAAATGTATCAAACATTCTAGTTATATTTTGTTTTAATTCAATTCAATTCAATTCAATTTGTTCTTGTGTAGCCCTAAATCACAACAGTGGTTATCTTGGAGGACTTTACACAGTTGTTGAATTCGCCAGCACAGATCCGAGAATCAAACACAAGAATTAATCCAGACAACTTTGGTATTTGTCCATAAGGGGCAGACGACCAATGTCCATAAGTGTTGTTGAATGACGAGTGTCCTGGAACATCACCACAGTCCTTTTAGTCAAAGCCCCTCTAGTGTCAAACACAGGAATTATTATTTGTCAGATACATTAAAGAAAATATAAATCTATTCAATAAATGATCATAAACAAAACAGTCTGTAATGTGGCTGATCCTCCTGAAGTGTGATGTCATCCTATCAGTATTTACTGTCCTGTAACGTGTGGGGTTTTCAACTTTTCCGAGCAATCTTCTTCAGATATCCTCCCACCAAATGAAGTCTAAGTTCAAACCTGTTCATGGTGTGATGTGTGTCTGGGACAGGACATGGGGCAAGACGTGGAGCAGTACTTTCAGGAAGTGTTGTCTGCGTTTGAACACTGCGCAGACAGAGAGACGCTGAGGAGCCGCATGCACCAGATTTACCATGAGGTCGTACAAAACACAGGTGAGAAATGTGTATCAAGTTTACGCAATGTAGACTCACTTTTTTGCCTTGAAATGCCCCATTGACCTGAGACAAGGGTGGTTTGGTGGTTTCATTGGCAAGAACATATAACAAAAAATACACTTTTAACGCTTTAGGTGCCAGTGTTTATTGGAGAAAGGTCCTGTGAAATAGATAATATATAAGAAATAGTCAGGGATAGTGGACTAGAATTATCATTAACAGAAATACATAGAAGACAAGAATATGTTTGAAAAATGTAGGGACACATTTGTGGGAAGCCAAGACACTGTTTAGAAAAAGTGTCCAGGATTTAGAAGCAATTCTGCTACTTTAGCGCCTAGAGGGTTAACTTTTAATATCTTTTTTAGTAAAGTCACGCAGTCCACCCAGCTAGGACCTCAAACAACTACTTAATATAATAGACTACAGCAACCATCATCCACTTGGAGCATTATAAAAATGTTCAATCATATTTTTCGCAAGGATCCATTTTTATAAAGAAAAGAACAGCACCTGCAACAGTCCAAATGACTCTTGATGGTAATAGCTTCACTTTTGTTGCTGCTTGTGCTGTCATTCTGCCAAGTATAATGCATTAGGCCTGTGTGTATGTTTAGAACCTTCTTCACCTGATCCTGACCTGATGTCAGATTACCGCTATGTTTGGCTGTTGTTTTCACACTAAACACCCTGTGTTTGTAGTAAGCGTAATGTACCTAGAGCCTTTACTGCTGATGCTTTCCACAGCACTCTAAATAGACTGTAAAATCATATGAGGACACCACAAGGCAGCCATGGTTCCGGTTCCTAGTGCGATGTAAGGCACTAATGGTTCACAATACTGTATTCAAAATGGTACATTTGGATGTGGATATGAGTAGGCTAACTGATTATATGTGACATTATGATCGTAATTTTTTTTCTCTATTGAACCAATTGTTTTCAAAGTGCTGTGTTTCTAAAGTTCATGCTTTCAACTTTATCATGCACAAGAAAGTCGAATTTCCTGTTTGTGTTTAAGGATATCACACACAAAAATTGTATGGGTGAGGAATCACTCATACAAAAAATATAGTAATCATTACAATAATTGTAACGCTAAAATTGTACATAGGCCATATAATTAAAGTAGCAGTTTCCTGTTTCACTCCACCTGAACTGTTTTGTAGTCTTTCACCTCTGCCACAGCTGCCCCGGGAAAGAGGTGAGGCTGTGCAGTGGTCACTCTCAATTTGAAGATTAAAATATTGTGAACAAGTCAGATCACAAGATGCGGTTTTAATCTTATAGAACATTAGGTATGTTAGGTACTTGTAAGAAAGAGCCCTGTGAGTCACTTTTTAATGTTTCTGGCTGAGAGCTGATTGGCTGAGTGAGTGTGGTTTTGTAAAAGCTGATCTACAGTATAAATAAGGCCGAAATATTCATGTTTGTGAAAATGGGTGATAGAACTAAATTGTGTTGAGAGACATAACTAAAAAGAGGCATTGCATTACATAGTTTTAATTTGAAAGTTACATACCCCAGCTTTAAATACAGAGCCAACAATATGTTGCCAGCTGTGCTATGTCTTCCACAGTTACATCTAGTTATTTTTAAATGTGTGTCTGGTGATGGTCCCGCGGCGAGTCTTCAGCCGGCGGACATGACCAGTCCTATTCCTTCCTGTATTTATGCTTATGTTTATTACAGGTCCATTCCCCCGCGGAGCCTCGTGTGACTCCCGTTTGCCCAACCCCGATATGAGCTTTTACTTGTGGACAGAGGAGCTGGACATCTGTGAGTGTCGACTCCAATTCACCATTTTTTATTTATCTCTAAACAACAGTGCACAGCTCAACCATTTATTGAGTTACTGTACTATTCTATTTATTATTATTATTATTATTGTTAAACTTTATTACAGACACGAGGTCCAGATAAAGGCGCGTTCAGACCAAAAGCTTCAAAAAGCTTTTGACGCGCTTCAACTGACGCCGGGATAGTTTTGTCATTTTGGTGCTTGAAGCTTTTGACGCGAGTGATGCGCCTGACGCCGGTGGGAGGAGCTTCTCTGTTGTCTGTGGGAGGAGCTTCTCTGTTGCCTGTAGTCAGGACAGCGGTGGATTTTTCAATGAGCAGCGAGCCTTTATTTGTTATATAAAGCAAAATAACGTTGTTGTAGGGCTTCAACAAAACATGTTCTGGGTTCACCACAGACTTGAAAGGCTGCAGTGTTTGCAGAGTTCTGTCATTTACTCCAGGAGCTGCGTACGGAGGAGTTTCGCTTTCAGCGGTACTTCCGCATGTCACTCGCCCAGTCTGAGTTCTCAAACCCCGGAGCTCGCCTCTCCCCGGCTCTCCCTGCCTCTCCCTGCCTCTCGCTCGCCTCTCCCCGCCTCGCTCTCCCCGGCTCTCCCTGCCTCTCCCCGGCTCTCGCCCGCCCGGAGCTGCCTTGCTCTGAGCCAGACTCATCGTCAGCCTGTTCTTATTTTAAATAAACTACGTTTACTACACAGCATGTGTACAATGATTTTGTTACTCAGAATGTTACTACTCATACAAATAATATTACTAATAACAATAATGACAATAAAACACCAGCAGCTACATGACTTCTCTCCATGACAGAGACAGACCCTCTGCTGCTGCTGCTGCTCGTCTCCTGATTGGTTGAAGCCCGCGTCAAAGCTTCAAAAGCTCAGCTTTGCTCAACTTCGGCGTCAAAGGGATTGTTGTGATACGCGAGCGTTTCGCGCGTCAAAAGCTTCAAGTGAGCGCGTAGTACGCGCGAGTCTTGAAGCTTTTGACGCGCGTCAAGTGACGCCAGGGCTCTCGGCTTCACCTGACGCGCTTCACCATTCACTTTCAATGGAAACCTGACGCTTTTGACGCCGAAGTTAAGTCCGGTGTGAACGCCCCTAAAAACAAAAACAATAATACATTTTTTTAATATACAGTATATATATTTCAAATATGTTTTACATACATTTACATTGAATTAGATGAATTTTAGATTCAGATGATTCATTTTACTTACCATTTGCAGTAAAACCACATTGGCCTTAACAACCAGACAATTATCAATGACATTTTATGACAAGATTTCATTGTTAATTCTTGTGTGGCTTTGACTAAAAATGTAAGATGTCTTTATCTATGAACTTTTGTTTTAACTTGAGTTTATTTGCATTTATTCTCACGGATATTCCTCCGTATTCTCAATAATATTCTCATTGAGATGGTGTTGATTGGATGAAATAAACTCTTGTCCTTTCAAGTGCGTAAACCATAGCCTTCAGTTATACGCCATGACAAAAGAATATTGCTCCAGCAATGTTCTTTATAATCATATGTTTGTATCAGATCCTGTGATAAAGCAGCTGACTGCATACTGAGACCTTTGTATGTGTTTTCTCTTCTTCTTTTAGAGTTATTGTTGTGTACTTTGTGTGACAGGGCGAGAGCTGTCCAAGTGGTTTCGCTCAAGCTCGATGTCGGACTCGTTCTCCGTGAGCCAGGACCAGGACCAGGACTTTGATCTGGGAGAATCTCATATTGAGATGCTCTCCGACATGACTCGCTTCTCTGTGATGTCCACTGACAGCGGCATCGAAAGAGACCTCCCACTGAGCCCTGAATCCTGCATGGATAGTGCTGCTTTCAGTTCTCCATGTGAACAAAGGAAAAGGTATCATCTCTGTCCACTGGTATGTTAGCTGATTGGTCAAGCTGTTCTCAAGCATAGCTCACGTTTCCAACTTTGTCAAAAAAAAAATCCAATGGCAAAACTGTGGCAAGGTCTAAAAAATGACATCGCTGTCCATCTTACAAGACGTTTACATAACAAAGTTATGCAAAGAAGAATTGGAAATCATATAGTGTTGAACAAAAAACTTGAATCTGTAGTAATAGACACAATTCACAATTTTCTATTACTTTAGCTACTGTAGCTCTTTCACAAAAAGACCTATTGAATATCTTCATATTTCTTTTTGTAATGAGAGACAATGTTAAAAAAGTTCATACTTTTTCTCTAAATCTCCTCAGTGATAAGAACTCCGGGAAGCTGGTCCGAAAACCAGGCATAAAGTTACGTCCCACAGTAAAGGACGGCGTAGCCTTGATGCAGGACACGCTGGAGGACCAGGCCTGTCTGGGAGGGAAAGCACCCAGTGTAGGAAGAGGTTTACAAAGACGAGCGGGAAGCAATGCCCTGAAGAGCCCCTTCCCCAAGCAGCAGAGATACTTCACCGCCAAGATCGTTGCCATGGGAGACGACCGGGTGCTCGGTCGCCTGGCCGAGACTTACCGCTTCTTCAGGTAACTAATGAAGTAGTAGAACTTTGACATGCTATTCCAAGATAGGATACTTATAGCTGGGATACCTCACTTTCAGACCACAACAAATGTAACTGAGAAGTATAATCCATTTAACGTTCCTGTTCGTTCCTGGTTCTGAAACAGTTGGGTTCTATCACTAGTTATGTACAGTATTTTTAACCTCATAATGACTCTGAAGGATCTTTCCAGTGCAAAAGAAAAGTATTTTAATATTTACTCTCACAAGATTCCTTCTGTTAAGATAAACACATGTATTATTTGGGAAAAATTAGGTACCCCTGCTTTAACCTTTTGCCTCCAGTAATTATGATATACTGTAACTGAAGAATGTTGAGTCATACTTGTGTGATAGGAGTTTAAAGATCTACTTTGTCTTTTTGATGAAAATCAGGTTTTTCAGGTTTAAGGGGTTCCTTGAACAGATTCTTAGTAATGTTGGTCTGTTGTTACAGGAAAAGGGAAGCTCGAAGACTTTTCCTCACCATGAAAGTGAACCTACAGTTTTATTACATCCCTGTCAGCTCATGCAAACCACATCACTCTCCCATCAAGGTACGGATGCTTCCCCTAAATGTCAACCACAGGATTACCACCTTTAAATGGAGTGGCCAGAAGAAAATGTTTCGTATTACCGCGAAATTTTGAGCTGAAATAGTACAATTATGAAATGTTATTATATAAAGTTTTTCATGTTTAATGTGCCATATTGCATCAATGATGTAATATATGTAAAATATGTATTTGTCAGTGTTTATGTACAGCGGTATATCAATGATTCATAATAACAGGCATGTCCAAATGTGTATGAGCATCTGAATCTGAATTCAAATGAATGGTTGTGCTCAGTGACGCTTTGTGACGGCATGGGGGCTGAAAGATTAGCGGATTGAAAGAAGTCGCCTGGAACTCGCAAAGATCTATGGGAAACTCGCAAAGATCTATGGGAAACTCGCAAAGATCTATGGGAAACTCGCAAAGACCTATGGGAAACTCACAAAGATCTATGGGAAACTCGCCTGTATTTGGGCATCGTCTGGTCCTCCCGGTTCTGCGCAGTGGATGATCTCCCATAATGCGTGGGTCTCACACCGGGTCTCACGCACGTGCACAGAGGGGCTTGGCTGCGCTCTGACCAATCAGAGCAGTTCATCAGAGCGGGAGTTAGAGCGAGAGCCAGAGGAGCAGAGTTTGTGGCACTAAAGTGTGGATTTAAACAAAACCGAAGGATTTAAGAAGAAAAAAAGTTCAGGATGACAAGGGACACTAAAATACCCACAAAATCTGACCTTTATGAAAGCTGTAGGTTCTCTGTCAGCTGAGGTTGAGCTGTTTTAATATGCATTGAGTCCTATGGGGAAAATGTCTGGGTAGCCCACGTGAATTTAGTCTGGTTCAGTCTGCAGTACCGCGAGAATCCCCCGAGTACATGAGTTATTCAGCTACAAGCTAGTAATACCCTATCCAGTTATTATAATAGAGCCATGGCATCTGCCCCTAACACAAACTTGCATTCACAGGTATTCAGGTACATTCACAGTGTCATCCAGCAAACTTCAGCTTCACAAATATAGTCATGGTATGGTCAATATAGTCAATTCCATATATGGCATTAATGTAGCTGTGGTGTGTATCAGTATGGACACATCAAACCACTTTTTAATGCCTGCAACAATAGAATATAGACAGAACAGTCTGGTGAACTAAAGGGTTTAGGTGGATTTAAATGCTTATTGTGTATAAAATTACAAAGGGCTAGCAGTTCAAAAGAAATACATATTTGAAATTACGTGTATGATATACTTTGTTTTTTCTGTGAACTGCACTTAATTTTTTTCTTTTAGGAAATTCCAAGTCCAATAATGGAGAATGACTGCTCTCTTGGATCATACTTGAGCATGGTAGATCCTTGGTACAATTGCAATATCAACAAGTTGGGATTCACAATAACCAAACTGGCAAAAATGGTACATGCACAAAAATGTATTTATTGAAATCCAGAACATGTAATTGTATGGAGGAAATGTAGTTATATTTTATTTTATTTGGTAAAAACAACATGAAGGGAGCTACAAAGTAATGGTATTATGATGTATTGCAGCAAGATTCAAAGTCACCAACCAAAGATCCCTTCATTTCCGACATCTTGTCCTACTATGTGCGACTGGGGCAGCAGCCTGTGTACTTCAACATTTACTTTGTCAAGGTCTCTTGCATTTTCTGTCATATATTCATTTCACATTTGCTTCAGGTCTAATTAGTTTGTGTTGCTGTTTCTCTCAGATCCACTCTTTGACAGGGGACTCTGTGGAGGAAGTGTTTCTCACTCATCTGGGGCTGGAGTTCCCAGAGTTTCAGCACATCACGGCTTCTCTTAAAGGTGAACCAGCTTTGAACACATTTCCCTCTCTGCTTCTGTGCTTGCCATACCAGTTTAACCACATGTTTCCTCTGAATATTAGAAAAACAGAAGAAGAACTCCAGCGATGTGTGTGGGGCTATGGTGTCAATGAGTTACAACAAGGTAACTTAAATACAAACAGTCATAAATATTAATACAGAGAGATGCATATTGTTTATTGTATTACCTTATTTTTTATTCTGATTTTCCGACATGAGCAAACAAACACATTCACAAACATTAAATGGAAAATCTGTAAAAAAAGCACAAAACCTCTTCATCATCATTGACCTTACTATCTCACTACTATGTCAAAATAGAGATAATGATTGTCATGATGTCTTTCTTTTGTATTTCTATGTTTTTAAATTGATGTGTTTATGGATGTTTAGGTGACATTAAGTGGTCGTGATTCTAACAAAGGACTGTCTGTGAGAATGGTGGGTGCACAGGTGTGTGCTATCCCCTCCAGCGAAGCTGAAGGTGCAGTGTGTTTTTGGTTATTTACTAAAATCCTTCTGTATTCTATCAACAAATGTCAATTTTAAACATACATTTAATACGTACTTGCATTTTTACTACAGATCTAAACTGTTTGACTGTGGTTTTCAATGAAACAGCCACTAAAAGTAAAAGTAACACTGCGGTAGGTGATAGAGTGCATTTATGATTTCTTACTGGAATGCCTAATTACACTTACATTTTAGGAATCTAGGATACGGACAAATAATATCAGGATTCGATCTTTGGAAAGTCGTTCGTTCACTGTGACACTGGATAAGGATAGTCGTCGTGTTTATACAAAAGTTCAAAGGTGAGACATCACTTTATAAATGTCACCATGGGAAAGTATATATATACTTTTTCATACTTTTATATATAATTAATGGGCAATATGATGTAATGATGAAATACTTTGTTGTCTTTGGTGATGAAAGCATTGAGATCGTCCCATGTCTGGACCCTGGATACTGCGTTCAGAAAACTATTAAGTCTAAATTTCACGATGACAAAGAGAAGGACGCTGGACTCAGCAAATACATGAGCAAAGGACTTTCTCTGGCGATCAACACCTTCACTGGGATCATCAACTGAGGCCGACGCTTTCATTCAAGCTACTTTACAAACAATTATTTTTGGATACCAGAAATGTTTCATCACAAAAACTAAATTATTGCATTGTAATATTGATGATTCAGTCCCTTACATTCAGCACAGCTCAGTTCTTTTTCTCTCTGAGTCATAACATGTCTGTATTTAGCGATCGACACTACCAGAACATTTTGATCTCACACTATAAGGAATGTAGACTGACAGACAAATCGAGTTTGAGAAATAGCTTAAACAATAATATGGTACAGAATCAATTCCCGTTTTCTTTTAAGCATTTGATTACCATAATTTAGTAAAAGCTAAAGCTAATATTTGATTGATATGTTTCTTGACTTTAACTTTCTGTGATGTTGAAGGTGAGAAAGAAAGTGTCTATAAAGCTATAAAAGGTGAGATTTGGCCAAATTCTAATCCATATTTTTAATATGACAACAAAAGCTTGGATGGAATATGCTTCAAAGTGATACGTAATATGTCTGAAGAGATACATGTCTATATGAAATGCACTGTTTTGCACATCTGTACATGATTGTGATTATGTAGCTATTTAAATGGATTCTGTCTATATGATTACTTTTTATGAATAAATTCTCTACTTTGAAATGCCAACTTCTTTTATTCACATCCTCCAGCAGAGGACAGTGTTGCATTCATGCCATTTGGGAAAAGCTCAGGGACGCGCAGCTCTGCGTGTGCACCACCAGCGCATCCAGAGCTAGAGCGCCAGCTGGAGCTTTTCCTCCGCTGTGGAACATCACGGAGGGATTCTGCTTTGTTGGACTGCGCCTCTTCTGCAGGACTTTTGGACACTGCAGCCTTTTACACTGTGATAATCCTGGATCATGGAGCAGGAGGCTGAAGCGTCTCATCAGTACGGATCACTGGGGCGCACTGCATGGAGCAAGGAAAACAACACTGCTGGTACTGTATTCAAACCATCAAGTTCACAAATAATGTCCGTGTCTTAGTGTTGAGGCGGGTGGAGTCGGTTACAGAGCACGCACGGTGCTTCTGAAAGCGGGATCATAAACGACACTACATCCGTGCATGAGGAGTGGTGGTCGTCTAGGTGCAGCGGAAATGTCAGACTCCACAGGTGCCATCTCTGTTGGAGGAAATGTGTGCCACTGGAAGAATGTTCGGCGATTATATCATACATGTGTTTTGTTAAAATTAGGCTTTAATAAGGCAATAAAATGGCTATACATAACTATTATGTACTATAAAATTATTATTAGTTTTAAAATATGAAGTTGTAAGCCTAAGTATTGCCATCAAGTGAATATTGATCGATTGAAGTGTAAAGATAGTTCTATATGGCGGTTTATATTTTATTTCTTTCATTTATGTTATATTCCCACTGTTCTGTAGTATGGGCAGCAACACTGAAATTTCCCCCACTGGGACACACAAAGGTTCTTTGATCTTATCTGGTCTCATATTTCTTACATAATGTGACGGTTAAAACATCTTGTGCCAACTAAAGTTAATAGATGCATCCATCTTCAATAGTCCATGATCCTTCATTGGACTATTGAATATTTATGTAAAGACTGAGTCAGAGACCTACAGAGGTGGGGAAATGAGAGGGTGGTCTAGTGTGATGACTCGTCTACAGGTGTGCTCATACATTCTATGTCAGCAGTGGTTTATTAGCTCACAAGTCTAAAGTTAAACCTTATGTCAATAAAAATATGGTGGTATGCTATTATATAAGATGATAGGACAGAAAAACAAAAACAGTGTTTATGTATATATTTATCATGCTTTAAAATGAATACTAACCTTCGAGAGGAGATTATAGATTTTTTTATGCTAATATCATCATTTTAGATAACCTCTGTGTCACTCACCATTTCTAACAGAAGTGTTGATAATGTAGTCCTTGTTGTTGTGCAAATCAGTGTTTTTTTTTACATACTGTAGAAGTAAAAAAAAAAATATCACTAATATTTATTTTTTTTTAATTCACACTCTACTCTCTACTCTGCTTGATGCACATGTTGTTTGCACAGAGGAGGATGTGGTGTCCATGGCTGACTCCACTGTGACTGTCGATGACATCGAAGGAGAGCTGTGTAAGATTGAACGCATCAGAGACGTCCTTGTCAGAAGAGAGTCCGAACTCCGATACATGCAAGTCCTAAAGTCTTACCATTCTAACCAAGAGACAGATTATACAGATATAACACAAAACCAATCACAAGTTATAAGTCTGTTGGAATTATTATATACAATACGTATATCAAAATGACACATTATCTAACTACTATATGCTTCAATATAACTGACATGTATTTAGAATTTCAGTCTTGAGTAGATCTACTGTTATTGAAAACAAAAAGCTAAAAGAATCTGTCTCACGTGGAGTGTGCCACTGGGATTGCTTCTTTAAAGTCTGTAACTTGCCTTTAAAGTCTGGATGTCAGTAGTTCTAATGATGTGATGTGAGTTCTTTGCCCTTGATAATGTTACTCAGTGCTTGCATGTCCTTCCAGGATGGATGACATTCAGCTGTGCAAGGAAATTACTCGCTTGAGGAAAGAGTTGCAAAAATTAGTATCCATACCAGGTACTGTACTCTCACTCACTACTAATAATAAAGCACTGGTTTGTAATACTGCAGTGCTTGGCCAAGCCTGCTGTCTTTCCTATTCCTTTCAATTGCCTTTTAGTCGAGTGACTGACGCAGTTAATGTTTTATACACATGTTTTTTGAGTAGATAATGATAAATGCAACGAGGATCGTCAGAAGGAAGAGGAGCTTCTGCTGCAGATCCATAAACTAGTGGAAACCAGAGACTTTCTGGTGGATGATGTAGAGTTTGAGCGACTCAGGTGAGTTACATCAACAAAAATCTAATAGTTTTATAAACTCCTATCTATACCAATTTATCTTTTATCAAAGAATAAATCTCAAATGCACCCAATTTAATTATTGTGTAGCCAAGTTCTTAATAAGAAGCTCATCGCTGCTACGGCTCCTTCACTGCACACTAAACCCTGTCCCACTACACTTGATGATTTGGTTCATCATTTGTAAGTGTTGGTAATTTACCAATTTCAAGAAATGTTGACCAAATACTTGTTTGTACTTTTTTCAATTACATTTGAGATATTAATGGATGGATGAATTTAAAAAAGGAGGAGTTGGGGCTCAGACAACTCTTCTCCTGTTCACAAGGAGACTCCTGGCTTGCTCGCCACACTGTAAGAACAGATCAATTCAGGGCCAGAAGATTTGTTCTTGGGGAACCTAGAGTGTGAAGGGGCGAATGAAGACACAAAAACTATGATGCTGTGTACAAAGTTTGATCACTTTGAATGCTGTTTTCCATGTGCAGCCAAGCACGGCACAGGCGAAAGAGGAAAAGAAATGCTCAGAGCGCGGTGGAAGCTGATTTATGGAATCAAAAGTACAGATTATTTCATAATGACCAAATTTGTACATATATTGGAAAATACAGAATACCAGAGTACAGAATTTCATTCCAATAACACTGTACTGTATCAGCTCTGACACTCTTCCCGGTTCCTGCTGCAGCCCCATAACATGATGCTGCCACCCCCATAATTGACTGAGGATGATGCGATTTGAGCGATTCATATTCTGCATTTGGGCAATAGAGTAAGATTTTGGTCCCATCTGAACACAGCATCTTCTTCCACATGTTGAATGTGTCCCCCTCTTTGCTTTTCAGTACTGGCATTCTATTAACCACTTGTCCTCTAAGGACAGTGGCGTGGTTTGTGTCATGTATGACTAATATCTGCCCAGGTGAGTTGTGGATGTCTGCAACTCCGCCAGAATAACCATTGGTCTCATATCTGAATATGGGCGACAGTAGCTCAGTTGGTAGAGCATTGGCCTTTGAGCCAGAGGGTCGTGGGTTCGAGCCCGACTCTCACCATCGTCTCCCACTGTCTGCTGTTGTTGTGTCCTTGGCAAGACACTTAACCTCTGGGAACACCAGCCACAGTGGGACAGCTGCGGCTGTAAAGTGCCAAACTGCCGTTGTTTCCTTAGACACTTCACCCCCATTGCCTAGAATGAGTCTGGCATGTGTGTGTGTGAATGGTTGGTGGTGGTCAGAGGAGCCGATGGCACAGACTGGTTGCCTCGCTTCGGTCAGTGTGCCCCAGGGCAGCTGTGGCTACAGTAGTAGTTTATCACCACCGTGTATGGAGTGAAAGAATAATGACATGTAAAGCATATTTGAGTGTCCAAAAAAGCGCTATATAACCAATGCATTATTATTATTTATATCTGTGATCAGCATTTTCCCTGGATGAAAATGCCAGAACATTTTCACTTATGTGAAAAATGAGCAACGAGCCGGATTAGGTTGCTTGGCGAGCTGGACCCGGCCCCCGGACCGTGTTTTGCCCAGGTTTGTCTTAGGTCATCACAGAAGTACGGAGCCCTGAGTAGAGATTTTTTTAAAGTGAATGCAAGATACATTTTTGGTAATCCCGTGCAAGAATGTCGAGATCCTGAGGATTATGTAGATTTTAAAAGTTTACCGAAATAGATAGCAGTGCTTCTGGCTACTGCTACTGCTCTGTCTGGTTCCGGGAATAATTTTGAAACGACAATGGAAGACACATATCCATGGGGAAAGTTTCTTGAGTTATGTTGTAAATAGGCATGACATGAAAAGATATAGAAAAACATTTATCGGCTTCAAACTCAAGTTTTACATAAGTGTTTTTTTGCGCGTAGAAATTATTTTGTCGCAAGCATGCGTCGCAAGCACTTGAAGACATGGATGAGTAGTACTTGCGAACGATAGAGAAACTAGATTATGTGTGAGGAAGGAGGATGTACGTCTGAAGGAGTTGGACCCCTAAGGAGTACAAGCAAGCCAGACAATTCGTCTCAGACGTCTACTTTTCCAAAGGACCTAATTTAATCTGGCACTTTGACTCTTATGATTAACTTAAGCCTAATGGTATGTGTGAATGGGTGCATTGATGGGTTCTCACGAAAGATCATTTGAAAAGTTGTTGCGTTGTTTGAGATGTCTTGGATTCTGAGGAGACCCAGGAGGGTTCTCCTTTCCTTTCATCTTGATGAGAGAGACAGGGCTTGCAATTTCAGACCATGGTGATCAGCAATCCAAAAACACTCCTGGGCTGTACTGGCCCATCCTGGAATCCCACTTCTGACACCAGAATTGTTGTGGAAATTTTCTCAATAATTCATGGAAACAGAGTTGTATTTTGTGTGGTTTAGTTTACGTAAAAAGTACATGAAGGAGAAAACTTCTGCAAGCTGCTCCTCGAACCCTGCATCAGTCTTCTGAAGCACAATGGGATTTACCCAAGCTTGGGGAAAGTCACCCAGGTGTCACAAGACGAAACACAAGACACATCTCCGCAACTGATCACATCCAAATAGGTGACTTGAGGACGGAAGGAAGGGGAGAGGTGGAAGGTACAGGGGCAGAGGGTGCAGGAAGATCCAAGATCACTTCATGATAAGGGAAACAGTCACATCAAAAGAGATGATCAATCATTGTCTTCATGGTAAATTAGACTATACCCATCCATCCATCCATTTTCTACCCTTTAATCCATTTCTGGGTCAGGGGGTGGCAGTCAGAGATGCCACCCAAGTCTCATAGCACCAGCCCCTCACTGACCCTCTGCAGGTGGTGAGTCCACAGGAGGACGGCTGCTCTCTGAGTGTGAGTGCATAGCCTTGATCTTTCAGTGGGGGCTTTTGGGCAAAGTGGGGTTAAGTGTCTTGCCCAAGGACACAACGACAGCAGTCATCAGTGGGAGTCGGTGGAGAAGGTGCAGAGGTGGGAATTGAACCCACGACCTTCTGGCCTTAAGGCCAATGCTCTACCAACTGAGCTACTGTCGCCCCCTAGACTATACCCCATTCTAACAAACATTGCCAAATTCCTTCTTGCCATAAAACAAAGCCCCCTAAACATGTGTTAACCTTTCAAATCACTCTACAATTATACAATGCACTCCTTGCTAGTCATTTCTGCCATCATAGTGTCTCATATGCAGGTTGACTGACAAAATGTGAGCCCTTTTTAGAAATTGTGTTTTGTTGTCCTATTTATTTTATAGGGAAAAGGAAGAGGACAAAGAAATGGCAGATTACCTCAAATCTAAATTCACAGCCAGAATTACCAGAACAGGTAACATTTTATTTATAGTTTATAGTAATTATTGAAATTGAATAAATGAATAATATGATGGGTAAATTGGTAATAATTGATGTGTTGTTTGGCAGGTATACCAAGACGTTATATGTCGAAAAGGGTGCAACAATCTTCCTCTCCTTTCAGTAAGACTGGACTGACTCTGCTGAAAGAGTGTTGCGGATTCACCTGTTCTATAATGTAACGCAGATCAAAATGTTTCTGGGTTTAAACATGCGCTGATCCTTTAAGCCAATACTTAGGGTTGCTGTGGAACAGGTGGACGGCATGGGCATTACTGTATGTGTGGCACAATGTATTCTGTGTTTTTGTGTCATTGGCATTTGCTCATTAAAAGTTGCTGCTGATATGGTGCAAAAGAACAGCAGGAGAGAGATACCAGTAATGGAACTGACAATCTCAAAAACCATACACTTTATGTCGAAATGTGTTTGGCCTTTCATAAAGAGGGAAGAGTGACCAGGGTGACTGAGTTATCTTTTAATTCTGTGTAAACTTTGGTTTGATTATCAGGTTTGGAGATTCTGTGTCCATTTGCAACTGATAATAAACCCACACTGTTTTGTCTCTGTGACTACAAAAAGTGTCGTACATTGAGAAATTCTTAAAGTTTAAACCAGTCGGGGTTGGTCCCGGCTCAAAAAGGTCCATGAGCATTTGCACTGACACACTTGCAATCTCCCTCCGGGCCGATGGAGTGGACCCGGAAAGAGAATTATCCACTGCTTTTGTATGCCGCCTTCTTTCCTCTCTTTACAGGGTGGTCCAAATGTCGGCTCTTGGCCCAACGCTAAGTTCTAGATGTGTATCAATGCTGAGGGGAGTTTATTTTTCTGACCAGTCTAGTTTAGCCGCTGTGGACTTCAGAAGGCACTCGTTAAATGCATGGGGCTCATGCCGGCTAACGCATGCACAAATGCCTTTTGCCTGCCGTGTGCAGCCCCTCCCACAGGACAATGTGAAAAAATGCATTTGCGCATGCGTTAGCCGGCATGAGCCCCATGTATTTTTCCATTTTCTTCCTCACTCATTATTCTTTACTATCATATACATCCCAAAATTCAATGCCCCCACATATTCTATACTTGATGATATTGCTGGTGCTGAGACCACACACACACCAAACATTTTCACTGTCCCATCAATGAAGTTGTCTTGTACGGTATGTTTTGCACTGTATTGTATGTATTCTAGGGATAGTGTCAGGTAAATGTATGCTCAAGACATTTCTTGTCTTTTTGACCAGTGCTCTCGAACAAGGAGAAACATTTTTTTCCACAAAGAAATGAGGATTGTTTTTATAGATGAGGCTGAGGGAGGGAAATAGGGAGATATTAAATGCTAAGGAGCAAGTTTTATTTGTCATAATGTCTTTTACAGTACTTTATGCAGAGTCAATATCTGTTAATGTTGTAAAATTCACCTTCCAGCAGCACAATGACCCATAAAGCTAAATCTACATTGGAAAACTATGTATGTTTTAGAATGACCCAGTCACAGTCCAGACCTAAATTTTTGGAAACACGTGAAAACTGCTCTTCACAAACACTATCCATCCAATTTGACTTGTTTGAGTTGTTTTGTAAAGAGGAATGGGCTAAATCTAAAAGACTTGCTGCTGTTTCTGCAGAAAAAGAGGTATTAACTCATGCTGTATGAATACTTGTACATGCCAGACTTTTTTTGTTTTTATATATAAAAAAAGAAAAACATAGAATCATGCATCATTTTGCCTTCATTTGACAGTTTTCTGTTTCTTGTGTGTGAACTTTAAATCTCTATGGTTGTAAACATGACAACATTTGCAAAAGTATTAGTACTTTTGAGAGGCAATGTATATGCTTACTGTACTCTATGTTTCTTGAAAAATAGGGAAAAAAGACAAACATGTTGGGGCGTAAACCATAGACTGTAAATATTAACAGACGCAGTCACGCCTACTCCAACGTTGTGCCATAACTATTACCTTCTTATACACTTTTGCCATACATACAGTATACAAATGTATCTGTATTCTACATGGACCATCTCCAGAGACCACAGTGTCAAAATGTGGTTAGTCTGATAATATCAATAATAATAATACAAAATTGGTTAGTCTGCTGATAGCAATAATAATAACAATCATGATAGTAGTAGTAATATTAATAATAATAATAATAATTAGTTTGCATATTGAGGTGGAGTTTCAGAATTCTGCTCTATTTATTATACCTTTTTTTTCTTTTTTTGTCCACTTTACTGTGATAAATTGTCCACATAATTCCATCAAACCAAATAGTAATCTTTAAAGGTATAAAGGAGGATTTTCTACATCCGGGGGGATCATCAAGACAATTGGTCCTCCTTATTGTCAATCATTCTAGTGATACGTGCTTGTCAAATAAGACCAGAGAGTTTTGTTTAAAAAGTATAGAGGGTGGTTCTTTCCTAAAATTTGGGAAAATCCTCCTACATACTTTTAACATCTTTAGTTTTAATAATCTATCTGGACACAACCCTAAAGGCATGACAATGATTCCACGTTTCCCCCTATACATTATTTCCAGTCCGCTGCTGCAGTAGCCACACAAGGAATGGTCACTATGGCAACCCTCTACACCTCATATAAGATCAGAGAGTTCATGAAGCAAATGTGACTGAGCATATACACAAAATAATGGCTTTGTTGTGATCTATGTCACGTAGCAAGCTCTATCTGTGTGTATCATCTTCTGCCATGACGCTCTGAGCTCCCACAAGGCCACCACAGGAAAAGGTTATGATGTTTTATCAATTATGCAGTGTTTGTGGTGTACCTGCTGATGCACAGGCCATAGGCTCCGAGACAGAATATAATTGTATATATCTGTGGGTAAGAGAGAGAGATACATGCTGTGTAAGGTCGCAGCGGATTCATTGGGCGGGGACATGTTAACTACTGTATGTGTTTGATACATTGGGATGATTCAGGTCAGAGAAAATTAATCAAATCCATTGTGTATTCTTTAACTTACATTTTTTGGACAAGACCTGATTGAAACTATAATGATAGATGCACAGAGAGCCTTGCACTGCTATGTGTAGTGAAGGTCTTACCCCTGTTGTTCCTGGAAAGTTCCAAAGTACAGCTGTGGTTTATCTATCTGAGTAATTTCTGCTCTTGACACAAAGAGGTTGTTTTGGTCGTTTCCAGCTTACAAACATAAACATTGAGTCTGAATGGATGAATACCATGAAAACTTCAATCCTTAGATTTCAAAATTACAGACAAACAGAATACTGTCACCATAATGAATGGCATTTCAAGTGAGAATTTTATAATCTATGTCTAACGAGAAAAAGGTTCATGTTGCATTCAACAGAAACAGGGAACCTATGAATATAAATGAGGGGATTTGACATGACAACTCACATAAACAATGGATGTTTGTAGCTTTGTCTGTATGTATTTAAAAATTTTCAATACTGTGGAACATTTCAGGCAAATCAATAACATATCTACAGTGATGGATTAATTAACATATTATCATGATCTGGTCTCGGGTCTGGTGATAATGCAGGAAATAAAGATAATGTCCTGTCCTGTTAAAAACAACTCTGAGTCACTCTCCAATTAACCTCCCTTTCCTCGTGATGGAAGACAAAGGGCAGGGGAAAGCCGTGGTCCAAGCTATAGTAATATCAGGAAAAGAGCACTAAAAGCTCTAGGAATACAAAGGGCTCAGAAAGGAGCTGGAGAGGGCCTGGGAGATAAAAGTGACAGTAGTAGTAGTTAATCCCAGGAACAACCTAGGAAATCTCGATCCAGAAATGTGCACGTGTGTGGTAGATCCATGGTGTATGGGCACATGTAAGTGTAGGTGTGTGTACGTGTAAGTGTGCGTGTGTGGATGTGTGTGTGTGCATTTTTGTGTGGGTATATGTTGTTAGTGTGATCTTTTGATCTTTAAGCTACTCGCACCCCACCCCCTACCCTCCCCTCATATAAAAATAAAAAAACAAAAATCTCTTGACTGGTCCTATTCAATACTTTTATAACAATGCAGTGTTGAATCCCTAAAGAGATTAATTGTCTTAAAGCATTTTTTTTTGTATTTGATTTGATTTGTATTCATTATGTATTACTTTATGAGAATGTGAGAATGTCTCATTATTATAAATGAGATTCAAACATTGTAACAATATCCTACAAATGCCAGGCCGGAGCCAGAATCTATGATACGGCCATAGACGGCGTGAGACCAGAGAGCGCACACAGTAATCCTCTGCTGCCATCTAGTGTTCATTCTCTGCAGTCACAGGCCACAGCAGTAGCAGGCTCTCCACACGTCAGAACGAAACCTGTACGTGTGCGCAGACGTGTACGCAGCACGTCACGACTTTCCCGGATGCACAAACACGAACATGGATGGTTTAGAAATGGAAATGCCGATCAAGAATGGTGAGGACCAAGGACACGGAGTTGTTAATGGGACATATCACTCACTTGTAAAACCGCTGCAGTCCCCTGCGACTGTGCGACCGCTGACCAGAAGCGAACCACTCCAAACTAGCAGCCACAAGCCCTCCGAGCCGCCACACGCTTGTTTTGCGTAGTTGCTACTTGTGCTCAGTTGTCTTGTGAAGGTTTGATCCACGAGTGGTTGGATTGAATAGAATCAACTTTATTGTCCTGCAGATTGTTTGCAGCACAGATGCTACAGAGTTACGTTTGGGGGATAGAGCATTCAGACTCGTAGTAGATACCAGAAGATAAACAATCATTGAATCACTCCCCTTAGGGCCTAGGCTAACCTTACCTAAACAAGTTCTAATTGGATGCAAAAGTATGTCTTGTCTGTGAAGTAATGACATTGCTGTAATGACAAACAGACTTTGGTCATCAACTTTTGCACATAGTTGGTAACAGCTCTATGGAATTGTGATACAAAGACACCAATGCATCTCTATTTGGCTCCTGAGCTTATTTCTAGAAATTTGGGTCAATAATTGTTCATGTTCCTGCAGAATTTCCCCTCACAAGCCTTTCTACAACACAGAGAAAGCGGCAGGTTCGATTCTCTGCACGACACGATATTCTTCTTCTCAGAGAAGTGATTGCCCAGAATCCCTTTACTTCAAAAGAGTCAGGTAAGTAGAAAGCAATGCACATATATAACACAACATGTATATTTTATTATTACATTATCGTTTTTTCAGGAAGAATTTGGGCCAGAGTGGGAGAAATCATTACTGATACTCTTCAAGATGAGAATTTTGAAGTAGATGCCAGGAGGTGCAGAGAGAGGACCATGCTGCTGCTGGATTACTACAGAAAGCAAGACTTCCCCAGCCTTCGCAGGTACAGACTTTCAAGTTAAAGTCAGGAGAGTTTGGAGAGGACTTATGTGCATGTGATTGTGTGTGCAGGTTTGGCACTGAGAGGCTGTATGCTCAAAAAGAAGATCTATTACATGAGGTCCTAGAGCTGGAGGCAGATAGGGGAAATGTGATCAATGGAGACAATGGAAAATATCAGGTAAATACATGACACAGTGAATGACCCCAACCCTAGAAAAAAAGACTTTTTCCACGTATGTATTAGCTTCAATATAATTTGAAATTTTATTTTCTGATTTTGATTATAGGACGACGAGTTGAGCAAGAGAGCAATAGAAGAACTTAGGCTGCTGGAGCAAGAGAAACCTGCAATGATGCACACAACTCACACACGTAAGAGACACTGTTAAACTATAGACTGACTATTCTATGATTACAATGGTTAGGCGTCTCGTGATTTTTTGGGGATATGTCACAGTGATAACATAAATAAATCAATATTGAATCCACTCACAATTACAATATACTGTAGTAGAATTATTCCGTTAAACAATCTATCTTTAAAGGTCTCAGAATAAGTGACAATTACCCATAAAAGTGACTTAAAGCTGGGCTTAAAGCTGATGTACCCACAACTAAAGCACTTTAAGTATGTGATAAAAATCATGTTACTAGTTCCTCGCGCTCAAGCAGGTGGTTCTTATCCCTGGTTTTCACATGCATGTATTTTGTGCCTATATGCAATAATTACCTGTAAAAGGGAACTTACATTATAATACTAATGTGTTCATGTTATATTTTGCGACATTATTGTTAAAAAGCACAGGCACCAAAGTATATTGAACCTTCCATAAATTATTAGATTAATAACCAATATAGTAATTACAGAGCCTAATGATACATTAAAGCTGAGGTACCTAACATCTTCCCTTTCATTTTTGACCCAACATAAGGAGTCTTGTAATAGTAAAATGTTGTGAACGAAATTACGAGATAACATGTTATCCTTTGCACACTTGTAAGATAGATTTCTGTGAGTCACTATTTGGGCTGAGAGCTGATTGGTTAGCCCTCTCTTTTTCACTTATCTGTCTAAAAAAAAACGGATGTAAATATGTGACAGATGACAAAAATACATGCATGTGAAAACTAGTGACGGAACCAAACTGTTCTAGAGCCAGGAACTAGTTCAATTAATGTATCACAGACAGTTCCTTTTTGTTTAGCGTTGATGATTAGGTACCTTAGCTTTAAATCTATAGTAATTGTTAAAAGGTTAATACAAAGGAAATGTATAAAATGATGAAGTGTAACATTGCTTTGAGATCATCTCTAAACTTTAGCGTTCATTAGTATGCATTAAAATAAAACGCCTGCAGTCACTGCCAAGCTTCTCTCTCAAAACACCTTTTTAATCTTGGTGCTGATCTGGTCACACCCTGAGTCTTTGGATAAATCATAAACACATTTCTCTATATTTTGTCCAATGCAACAGATGCAGAGGAGGAACGGGATGATTTAGCAGACTTTTGTGCCGCCCCCACAGCCAAGCGGCCTTGTCAGTGCTGCTGTCAAACCTATTCCGAGATCCTCAGCTTTCTGGAGAAACGCTCCGAGTCCGAGCAGCGGCTGCGAGAGGAAGAGTTTGCCCTGCGCAGGGAGGAGCTGGAAATTCAGAGGAGTATGTTTATATTTATGTACTCTGTCTTCGGATTATATGCATTTGTACAACAACCACATTATGATATATTATGTTCCACTTTAGATAAGATCGCTTTAGAGAGAGAACGCCTGGAATCAGAAAGGAGGGAACGAGAGCGCCGGTTTGAGTTGGAGAGCCAAGAGAGACAGGTTATTCTGGATCTGCTCAAGGAGAAGGTGCTCAAGAGTTAAAACTGTTCACATATAAACTGTGTAAATTAACTAAGAGCAATGTGTGAATGAAAGAATGTAAACAACAACTGAAGGGAAGGGAACTAGGACATTGTGGTGACCTATTTATGATAATTGCTAAGGCAAGGGCTTTGTTTATAATGATAATAAAAATGATAGACCTTAGTTTTTATAGCTGGGGCACCTAACTTTTTTTCTTTCAAACATAATACATGTTGTTTGCCCCAACAGAAAGAGTCTGAGAAGCAAAATCGTATGAACGTGTCTTCGTTTTATTTTATCTTTTGATTACTTGCAAGAAAGATCCCTGTGAATCACAATTAGGACTGAGAGCTTATTGTCTGAATGACTTTTACTTTTCAGTCTAAAAAGCTGATCTAAAGATGTGACAAAGGAAAACCAGTGATAGAACCAAACTCTTCTAGAGCTAGCTCTTTTACATAGTTACATATCCCTTAAAATCGTTTTGTTTTGCCCCCATATCATATATTTATTTGAGTCAATTACAACTGTAACGCTCAAAATGTCTTTTCTAGAATTTGTTTGGTAACCTTGTTAGAAAGTTGAATGTTGTCGATATTTGTGAGTTTATAAGAATAAATACTGTCTACAATACTGTCTGCAAATAAAACCTATATTTACAAAGCTGTGTGTGGCATGTGACTCCCTGGTGGTGATTGGTCCGTTGCCTCTCGTGCCTCCTCTGATTGGATGTTCTAACATGGGCTCTTCCTGTTCTTCCATCCAATGATCTCGTGCTCGTGTTACTTCTGTCGCTTTTGCCACAAAGTTTACACTCGGCTCATCTCATTGTATCTATCAACGCTTGACGCTTTTGATCTCTTATTTTTGAGCCTGTTCGTAGTTTCAAAGTCTTTCGTTGGGACGAGGGGCAGGAGATGTTCCGCATTCCGCTGTAAACAAAGCTTTGGAAAGTCGTCATCGCGAGAGGATTTTTGTCCTCGTGCGGTGTTGATTTTTGACACATTTTCAAGAAAAGCGTGGTTCCTTGCCTGAGATCACTTTGTGCGATTGAAACACGCACTCTGGACCTCTATGCCTTTTAGTTTTTTAGTGGCAGTCCTCGAACTTTATTAACTTTAAGTGTTGAAAGTGATCTTTTTTTTTTTTGGTAACGGAATTCCCTGCTCTGAGAGAGAAACATGCCCATTAGACGTTTTGTGGGTCGCAAATCTTTAGTGTCACATTCTCCAAAACTGTCTTATGGTTACACCAAAATGAATATTTCAAAGAGTGGATACCGCGTGTTCTCTGCCAACTCCAGCACAGCATGCACTGAATTGGCCAAAAAGATCACAGAGTAAGTGGCAACAACTAACTTGACTAACTTAAATATACATATCCTCTGTTATTACACAGTGATAGCCTTGTATTATAGTTACAGTACAGATGCCAACAGGCCTGCATACAGTAAAGTGTGTGTGTGTGTGTGTGTGTGTAAGAATGTTATTATAGAAGGTTGTATAACATGGCGGATGATGTTTTATTAAGCACTTTATTACAGCACAGACTTGGCGAATACACTCATTAACTTAAGATAACATGCTCATGTATTGGCTCTGCACTATAGAAGCATTCCCGTGTAATTGTAGAATAAGATGAAGTAAACGGGGAGAGGCTGATCTGTCTGCATGTCTGAACAAAGGCACCCAACTAATATTTACAAAGCTGCCAGTTCTCTGATCAGCTTTTTTAATAGTAGATCATTTCCATTTATTTTTTGCAACTTCTGTATAATTAGTATCTGTGTACAATGTTAATATTTGGTGCTTATTACAATCCATAGGCGTCTGGGTGTTGAGCTGGGCAAGTCGAGTGTTTACCAAGAGGGAAACAGAGGTTAGTTAATCTAGTTTGAAGAGCAACAGTCATTTATGTTATGTTCATATTGTGTGTTTGTATGCAGAGACAAGAGTGGATGTGAAGGAGTCCGTACGCGGTCAAGACATCTTCATCATTCAGACCATTCCAAGGTATGACGCTTATATTAAAGGTCCTATATTGCGCCCATCCTCATGTTTCACAGTCCATCCTATGAACATGTGTGATAGTCATCTGAGTGATACACCGTACAGCACTCTGAGATTATAGCTATTTCTTGCACAGGGGTGATGTCAGCTCAGTTGGAACGAGCTGATCCCTGGTTCTCTGCTCCTCTGCCTTGAGCCGCATTCTTTGTCTTCAAGCCAAAGATGACGTGACATATTTACTCCCAAAAAAATTTCTTCTCAAAGTTGACATGATCCTAACACTTCCAGTCGCAGACAAAAGCAGACCATTCGTTGGACATGGGAGTGGCTGTGTGCAGTGATACGCTGTTTTGATTTGTCACCTCTTAATATTTTGGAAAACAGACGGTATATTTATTTCTGTATTCTTTTGATGCCATTATTTTAGAACCATTAAAAAAATGGGCTTCTGCGTCATCATCATGATTATTACTATTGTTATCTTTTTTTTTTTTTTTTTTTAGAATGATCAATTTTATTTTATATTTTTGCTACTACTGGACACCTGAATTTCTCCATCGGTGGATCAATAAAGTATCTATCTATCCTCGTCATCGGTGTTGAAATCGCCACAGTTGTGGACCCGGACGTTTTTGTGCCTCCTGAGAATGAAAGAGAAAGATAGCTCTCTAACTAAGGCTTAAAGTAATCAATGAAAAACAACCCTGGGCTTGTGTATGAAGGCCAAATAGCACTTTAATGATGTTTAAAGCAGAGAAAAGTCAAAAAGCGTAATATGGGGCCCTTAATGTTTGTCTTCTAAATGAAACAATCTATAGATCTATACATTTACCATAATTGTGTAGCTCAACTTTGAATAAAATCAAAATCAAACTTTCTTTTTTAATAGATTGGCTTTGGCTTCAATTTGAATTAAAACACAAACAGAATTGCACTAGACTCAAATCAATACCATTTTGTGTAAAAGTTTGGATGAAATGGATTTTCCGTAGCTTTGTTTGCTTTGTTAGGTATTTGCTTGCTCACCCTTGTATTGCTGCCCCCAGGATAAACGTCACATGGGTTAAATGGGTTGAAAATGCATTTGTTTTTCATAAATCTCTATATTTTCAGGGATGTAAACACTGCTATCATGGAGCTGCTCATCATGGCGTATGCCCTCAAAACTTCTTGTGCCAAGAACATAATTGGGGTTATTCCTTACTTTCCATACAGCAAACAGTGCAAAATGAGAAAGAGAGGGTCCATTGTGTGCAAACTACTAGCTTCAATGTTGGCTAACTCTGGTAAGGTGTGTGTGTGTGTGTGTGTGTGTATCGATCTAGTTTTTTTAATTTGGCTTTGATTTACTTTGTTTTTAGGTCTGACTCATATCATTACCATGGACCTTCATCAAAAGGAAGTGCAAGGCTTCTTCAGCTTTCCGGTGGACAACCTGAGGGCATCACCATTTCTTATCCAGTATATTCAGGAAGAGGTGACGAGAGATGTTTTATAAGTCATATTTATCTGACTATACATTTCATATCTAATGTGATGTTTTGTTTTTAAAGATCCCAGATTATAGGAATGCCATTATAGTTGCCAAGTCCCCTTCCTCAGCGAAAAGGTACGTTTTCAAGGCAAGGCAAGTTTATTTGTATAGCACAATTCATACACAAGGCAACTCAAAGTGCTGAACAAAACAAGAAAGCATTAAAATCATAAATAATCACAGAACATTAAAAAGGAAGATAAAAATATAAAATCCCTCAGTTGTATGCACAGCTAAACAGAACCGTTTTTAACCTGGTTTTAAACATTGTCAGAGAGGAGGCCTGTCTCACATCTTCAGTGAGATTATTCAAGTGTAATTTGAAGTGGAAAGTGTCATGAGGTGAAAAGCAGGAAGGACCCAAAGGCAGGAATGCAAAAAAAATTGGTTTAATGATAATAAAATAGAAGTCCAAGTGCAGACAAACTCAGAATCCAAAGGCACAAGGAACACAGAACCAGGAACAAAACGGAACAGACATTGACAATACAATGGACCAGCAACAAGGGGAGAGGAGTACAGGTACATATATAGTAAGAGAGACACAGGTGAAACACATCAGGGCAAGGCAGACAATTAAGACGGAACTGAAAAGGAGGTAAAACTAAAACCAAACCACAGAGAACAGATGTCAAAATAAAACCAAAATAAAAAGATCCACACCATGACAGGATGATTGTGTGCCGCGGGGCTAATTTCAGATATGCGGCCATTGCATCTGAAAGTAAGGCTTAAATCATTAAACATAAGTTCTCTGAATCATTTGGCCAACCTCAATTCTGCATGTAATTACCTCCACTGGATAAACCACTTTATCAAGTTTTGCACTGGATGAAGTGGAAGAAAATGACTGAATTAGGCCTAACCTAGCCTGGTACAAATACATTTCGTACTAAGGCCTGGCTTTGCTCCATTGAGCTCCGTTAACAGGTGGGAGGGGTTAACTCGTGTGAAATGATGATTGAGCAGAGTGTACGGATGGCTAAGGCCAGGCTAGGCCCAACCAGGCATTCTCACCAAGTTTAACAATGAAACCCTGACTGACTAGTACTAGTGGAGCAAATTGTGGTTCCAATTGTAAAGCCGACTTGTTGTCCATTTCTAAAGGAACCATTACTGACTACCCTATCAGTGGGTTTGCCCACTTTCAAATAAAATGTATTTCATTCATTTCTTCCTATAAATGTTTAATATCCCTTTATCACCCTTTAGATTTTCACAACACTCTGTGTCTTAATCTACCGCGTGTCTTTGCCTGTTTGTCAGAGCGCAGTCGTACGCCGAAAGGCTCCGACTTGGACTGGCCGTGATGCACGGAGAGCCGCATCAATCAGAGCTGGACATGGTCGACGGCCCACAATCTCCCCCTCTGTCCCGCACCAGCACTGTGCACACAGGCCTTGAGCTGCCGGGTGAGATTTCTTTATATGGTCAAAATATCACTTTCTCAACATGTGTCCAGCAACAGACAGTGGAAAGAGTCATCATATGACATTGGCTGCTGTATTGAAATAATGTGGATGAAATCATTAGCACTAATGTTGTTTAATCAATTATTTATTTATTGTTTGATTTGGATTCCATTAGAACACAATCATGAGAATTATTTTGACCGGGATGTATGCAGGTTAAGTTCCACCTCGCTTCTGTTCCTCTGCAGTATTTTTCTTGGCAGCCAGAGCTTACCTGCCCCAATGTTCTGTCGTCATAATGTCACTCATGTCGTATTGTGTTTACGTCCACAGGCATCAGACATCAGCTCCCATTCCCTGGGATCGAACTCCCAAGTATGAATATCATGGCTGATTGGTGCCCTCTGTTGGTTGTTTTCCTCCCTGCATGAACTGACAGAATTTTTTTTCTGCACAAATGTATATCTAGATAATCAAGAACATAAAGGAATGAATTGGCATTCTCAACTAAACGTTCTTGTCGAACTGAAAGTCAGAAACTTTCAACCACAGCAAAATGGCAATACATATTTCTGAACAATGGTGTTTTATTTGAACTATTCATTTAATATTATTATAACTGTAAGATATAATCATGAAGATTCACTCCCTGTTATGTGTACCACCAAGTGTAAGTCTACAGTGGTTTGAACTGCACTTGTCAATTAGTGTTCATTCAAAGAAGATCTGTCAGGCTATATGTTGGTAAGAGTACCCCACTTAGAAGGTATGGATCCGTCAATCTTTAGAGTGTGTGAAAAGCTACATGATTGAGGTGATGATCCTGAAATTGCTTTTACTTGAATGCAAGTCTAATTTCCCTGGAATCCACCTTTTTGCATTAGGAGTTTCTATAAATATGGCTCTATTCATACTGTGTGGCTAAGTGCCAAGATGTTTGAAGGTGATGGCTTCGCCTGCTACTGGACTCCTGACAAGTGTGATGGGGGGAGGACCTGAATTATTGTTAATTATTAAACACCTTTTTAACTCATTGCCTGCCAGCCCATTTCAGAACAGGTACTCTCATATTGCCAGCAATTTCTGATGATTTTTATTGATTTTTCAAGACCCACAGGATATTGTGCACTATGACTTTCTGAAATTCAAAACCAGAAAGGACTGTCTACTTTCACCTGCAATCCCCAGTCGAGTAGAGAGAAGTTCACCAGTCTCTGACAAAAAGCTGAGAAAAAGAGGATGCAACAAGTGCATCCTGTTTTCAAAACATACAGAGGCAGCGCTGATGCCACCTGCTGGCTTGATAAAATATGCCCTAAAGCTAATCCCCATACACATTAGATATAATAGACATCTGGAAACATGAAAATAGTGAAAAATGCATTTGACGTTTTAAAACGTAAATGGCAGACAATGAGTTAATACAAATTCATCAATGGACCTTAAATTAACAGAGTGAAGGGTTGATTCTGGTGACTTAGAACCATTCCACCTAAGTCATCCACCACAGTGTGTGTACAAATAAATGAATATTGATATTTAATCAAAATCCATGATGTCAAAGCTTATTCTGACGTTTGTTTCCTTTAAAAAAAAAAACAAACACACATTTGTGGTTGGTGGGTTAGTGTGGTAGGTCTGCATTGCATGAATTTTGCAGGTCTTGACATAAATCGTAACCGATATGAAATGTTTTTTCTCTCGTCATTTTTGAGATGTATTAATCTCTTACTATGTGTTTCAGTGATGATGGCGAAGGAAAAACCACCGATCACTGTTGTAGGAGACGTTGGAGGCAGGATTGCCATTATTATTGTGAGACACACACAAATATTTTAATGTTTTCCATTCTAATTCATTAACATTGTTTTTGTTTGAAAGGATGACATTATCGATGATGTGGAGGACTTTGTTGCAGCGGCAGAGATTCTTAAGGAGCGAGGCGCCTATAAGATTTACATTATGGCAACACATGGACTGCTGTCTGCGGACGCCCCGCGGCTAATAGAGGAGTCTGCCATCGACGAGGTATTATTCATATTATCATTATTATAAAGAGAGGTGCCTTAAACCTCAGAGTCAGAACATTCAACATGATGAACATGAAATCAGAAAGAACCACGATATACTGTCATCAGAGGATTTGTGACGTTACAAATGTACATACCAGCAATATACTTTTGGAAAATTACGGTTCTTTGCAAAAAATTATAGTATTAAAACATTATATTAAATTATATTAATAATTAATAATATTATATTAAAACAAATATTAGGTGAACGTAAAAAATTAAAAAAAACATTAAACTCTTTAAAGTGATAGTCTGGAACTCTAAATGAATTACACATTTTAATAATTGTATTAAATTGACCTCCTGGCCTTAAATGTTGATATAAAATAAGTGATTTTATGAATTCTAATATTACAGTTAAGTCCCGCCTTCCCTTCTCTTAGCTATAGCTAGAAATCCACGATGCCGTCCTGTTTAACCAATCAAATGATGCCAAGGGCTGTCAATCATCGGCGCTGATGCTCGTAGCTGCGCGAATGCTCAGATGTTTGTTTTCACTGATCCTCCGAATCAAGCCTCCATTAGGCTCTGGAACTTCATGAAATCTGAACAAAGAATTCTGAACATCCGCGCTGAGTTACCTATGTATATACTGAACCTGTATCCATAACCATTTATATACTGAACCTATATCCATAATCATTTATATACTGAACCTATATCCATAATCATTTATATACTGAACCTATATCCATAACCATTTATATACTGAACCTATATCCATAATCATTTATATACTGAACCTATATCCATAACCATTTACAGTGCCTTGCGAAAGTATCCGGCCCCCTTGAACTTTTCAACATTTCGCCACATTTCAGTCTTCAAACATAAAGATATACAAATTAAATTTGTTGTCATGAATCAACAACAAGTGGGACACAATCGTGAAGTGGAATGACATTTGTTGGATAATTTAAACTTTTTTAACAAAAAACTGAAAAGTGGGTCGTGCAATATTATTCGGCCCCTTTACTTTCAGTGCAGCAAACTCAGTCCAGAAGTTCAGTGAGGATCTTTGAATGATCCAATGTTGTCCTAAATGACTGATGATGATAAATAGACTGCACCTGTGTGTAATCAAGTCTCCGTATAAATGCACCTGCTCTTTGATAGTCTCAGGGTTCTGTTTAAAGCGCAGAGAGAACCATGAAGACAAAGGAACACACCAGGCAGGTCCGAGATACTGTTGTGGACAAGTTTAAAGCCGGATTTGGATACAAAAAGATCTCCCAAGCTTTAAACATCTCAAGGAGCACTGTGCACGCAATTATATTGAAATGGAAGGAGTATCAGACCACTGAAAATCTACCAAGATCCGGCCGTCCCTCCAAACTTTCATCTCAAACAAGGAGAAGACTGATCAGAGATGCAGCCAAGAGGCCCATGATCACTCTGGATGAACTGCAGATAACTACAGCTGAGGTGGGAGAGTCTGTCCATAGGACAACAATCAGTCGTGCACTCCACAAATCTGGCCTTTATGGAAGAGTGGCAAGAAGAAAGCCATTTCTCAAAGATATCCATAAAAAGTCTCGTTTAAAGTTTGCCACAAGCCACCTGGGAGACACACCAAACATGTGGAAGAAGGTGCTCTGGTCAGATGAAACCAAAATCAAACTTTTTGGCCACAATGCAAAACGATATGTTTGGCGTAAAAGCAACACAGCTCATCACCCTGAACACACCATCCCCACCTCAGCTGTAGTTATCTGCAGTTCATCCAGAGTGATCATGGGCCTCTTGGCTGCATCTCTGATCAGTCTTCTCCTTGTTTGAGATGAAAGTTTGGAGGGACGGCCGGGTCTTGGTAGATTTTCAGTGGTCTGATACTCCTTCCATTTCAATATAATTGCTTGCACAGTGCTCCTTGAGATGTTTAAAGCTTGGGAAATCTTTTTGTATCCAAATCCGGCTTTAAACTTCTCCACAACAGTATCTCGGACCTGCCTGGTGTGTTCCTTTGTCTTCATGGTTCTCTCTGCGCTTTAAACAGAACCCTGAGACTATCAAAGAGCAGGTGCATTTATACGGAGACTTGATTACAGACAGGTGCATTCTATTTATCATCATCAGTCATTTAGGACAACATTGGATCATTCAAAGATCCTCACTGAACTTCTGGACTGAGTTTGCTGCACTGAAAGCAAAGGGGCCGAATAATATTGCACGCCCCACTTTTCAGTTTTTTATTTGTCAAAAAAGTTTAAATCATCCAATAAATTTTGTTCCACTTGCCGATTGTGGCGAAATGTTGAAAGATTCAAGGGGGGCGAATACTTTCGCAAGGCACTGTATATACTGAACCTATATCCATAATCATTTATATACTGAACCTATATCCATAATCATTTATATACTGAACCTATATCCATAATCATTTATATACTGAACCTATATCCATAATCATTTATATACTGAACCTATATCCATAATCATTTATATACTGAACCTATATCCATAATCAGATCCTCTGCAGACATGTCCTATAATGTTCAATTAATGTTAATAGCTACTTCCGGGTTTACAGCAATCGCTTTTTTGTATTAAAACAGTATTTTTGTGATGAAAAAAGGTTAAAAAATAATTCTGAAAATCTCCGTGCATGTGTATTAATAATGTATATGTATAATGTGTTCTCAGATTAACATTTAAAAGTGTTACGAATTGTTATTATTTTTTTCAAATCAAGTACCTTTCTCTCTTTTTAAATGACAAACTCCAGACAATCACTTTAATCCAGGGCTACAGAAATAATATATTTGCAAAATGGAATTTTTTTACCACAGCATGGCTTTCATTTTATGTTTAGGATTCTATGTAATGTTTTATTTTTATAAATGAAATAGATTGAATCAATTCCGAGCTGCAGGGAATTATAAACTGATTATTGTAAACTGTGAAGGATTCGTTTGAAAAGGATGGATAATAAAATTGCTCAGTCAGAAAACTTATATTGTGGTGGTTTTATTTACAAGATCCAAAAACCGTGAACAATGAAAATTTACAGTGTAGGAAAAACATACAGAAAAAAAAAAAAGTCTCAAATACTCCAGCTCACTCCAACAGACAAAATAATTCACTGTATCTCTTCTTTTCTTCATTAAAGTACTAATGTCCTTGAATGTTCGTTTCTGTATTTAGTTTAACGTGTACAAGTTTAATGACATTTTGAGGATTATGGGTTTTATATTTTGTTTGTTGTCTGTAAAAGCTGTAAACATAAAGTAAAAGCCATGTCGGGATAGTACCGCTCTTTCCCCTGTCTTAACAAACACCCCTGGTCCATTCAGGTCGTGGTGACCAACACAATTCCACACGAGATCCAGAAGCTGCAGTGTCCAAAGATCAAAACGGTGGACGTGAGCATGATCCTGGCTGAGGCCATCCGCCGCACTCACAACGGAGAGTCCATGGCCTATCTGTTCCGGAACATCACCGTGGACGACTGAGGCACCGCACGCACTTACACTGCTGTTCACACCATGCAAACGACCAAAGACACGCTTTCGAATATCAAGGGCACTGCATAATGATTCACTCAGTATATTTTAAGTATATTTCACTGTATTTCGAGCAGTTAATATTAAAGCTGGGGTAAAATCCAAGTAGTTCCTGTCTCTAAAATGAGTTTGGTCCTATCACTTGTTTTCACTGGAATGGCTTTCTGGCCAAATTCACATCTTCAGATCAGCTTTTTTATACAGAAAGATGAGAGCAAACGACTCTAAACAGTAAATAGTCTGCCCCACAGGGCCTTTTGTCAGAAGTATGCAAAAGATAATGTGATTTCTAATAGCATAAAGACTGCGTTTTGTGGTCTGATGTGTTCAAACATCCAAAGAGACGTCTGTTGGGGAAAAACAGTGTTGTTATTTATGAAAATACAAGTTAGGTACCCCAGCTTTGATTTTACAGATCAACTCTATTCCTCTGGCTGCTCTTCACGGGCTAAAGTATTACATATTTGTTATTGTGGCACATGTGCACTGCTTCTCCTTGAATAGCTTTTTTTTACACAAATATGACTTCCTATATTACTGTATACAGCATATGTCATCATTATTGGCTTTGATGTGCCTTTGAATCCTATAATCTCTAATAAATTCACAGAAATATGTCTACTAGGTCCATGTTTTCCTTTCAGATTAGGCTGGTTTTGACGTCAGAGGAATATATTTTTACATTCCTAAAAGTGACTTTCGGTCGCCGTTTCAGTCACAATGGTTCATTAATCAGAGCAATTGTTCACACTGAAGGAAATCATTTGTGTTTTTTTGGCTGAAATTCATTTTAGCTTGAGATCGTTCTCATTACTTTCTTTTTAGTGGTATGACTCACTCGGTCTGGTCTGACTCAGTGCCATCTGATGTTTTCAGTGTTATTTTTATTTCACAACACAGAAATAGCCACATTACACTTTGTACACACACTTTGCCATTTAGAAAAAAAATGTTTAACTTCATCAACTTGAACATCTAAAGCAGAACAACATTTGACACATGATTCTCGTGACGAGTCCTTGACCCTAAACTTGTTCGAAACGCCTCAGAGCTGTAAATCTGCTGAGGAGCTTTGACCAAGTCCAGGAGCAAAGACCAGACAAAATGATATTCTAGTACAATTTAAAAAGTAAATGCAGCATTGTCTTACAGTCGTCCTCTGTGTCACTGAAGCAGCTGAACCTGTCCTCCTTTGAAAATGGCACATTGTCCGGAAGATGGTTATAAATGTGGAAACTGAAAAAGGAACTGCCCACAAACGTTTTTGGACCACTTCCTTAATTTAATAATACAACTTTGCTGGATGGACCAGACTTTGACATAGATCTTGGTTGAAAAGTTGAAGACAAATTAAATGATGTTTTGAAGTGTAGAATTTTATTCTACATGATATTTGCTAAAAAGTTTTTGTTAGTTTTTTAAAGGTCCTATATCACGTTTTTCTTCATGTTTCACACTCAATCCTCTGCACATGTGTTATAATAATGTGTGTGATACACCACACAACAATCAAAGCTTGTGAGATTAGAGCCATCTCTTGTATAGAGGTGACGTCACCTCGACTCAAACAAGCTGATCCAGAGAAGAGTCTGCTCCTCTGCCTGTGAGCCCGCCTCCCCCCGCCCGCACGGTGACGTAGCATCACGCTCTTGTCGTTTATCACCTGTACTTAGTAATTTCATACATAAGAATACACTTTTTCCAATGACAATCCGTCACATCGAGCCCTATGTCCTCGATGCACAATCAGACCCTAGTTATTTAGTTTACAGAAGTATACAGCGAGTTAGCGTCACTACTTACAGATCGAGGGGGTCCGAGTTACGTCTTTCACCGTGGGAATAACGTGTTTCCAGATCAGCTTTTGAGTAAGTCCAGTTCCATTGTCCCTGTAGTTCTGGAACAGTCTCAGTGAAGTGTCGCAGATGAACCGGTATTATAATAGATCCATGAGATGAACAGATGAAAAAAGTCGAGCCGCTTTCTTCCTCTTAGGGCCAAATAGTGTGTCACATGTTTACACCCATAACACACTTCATTCAAGTTGACGTGATCCTAACACTTTTAGTTGCTGACAAAAGCCGAAAAACAGCAGCTCTATGTGGTGTCCGCGAGACCAGACCACAGACGCTGGACTCGGGAGCCGGAGCCTGTGCGCTGTGATTCGCTGTTTTGATCCGTCAATCACCTCCCGACGGCTTTTAATTTATTTTTATTTTTATTATTTTTGAAAACAAACAGCATACTAATTGTGTATTGTTTACCCCGTTTTGACGAAAGTATTTAAAAACTATTTTAAATAGAAAGCAAACGGGGTCATGCGCGTCATCAGTGTGGTTTTTGTCACTGAAGTGGACCCGAGCGTTTCTGTGCCTCACGCTGGGGAAGGAGACAGATTGCTCTCTTACTAAAGATTGACAGAATCAATGAATAAACTACTGTGGGCTTGTGTATGAAGGCCAAATAGCACTGTAATCATGTTTAAAGCAGAGAAAAGTCAAAAACCGTGATATGGGCCCTTTAAAGAAGGAAATAAAGAAAATGTATGTATTTTTTATAGTACATGCATTTTATACAGGAAATGCAGCACATGATAGAAAGGAACTCATTAGGACAATTATTTTCTGTTAATATTTGCCTACTGTTAGGTGTTGATAAAACTACATTCCATGCATGTGTAACGGGTCTGATTTTCTCCGCTCTGCGTTGTGTTTACTTGATTGTGTGGTGCGGAGGAACACACGAGAGACAAGCTTACGAGGCGTTCTTTTATCTGGTCAATAAAAAACAAAAACAATGAACATGTGCCTCTGCATCACTCACAGCCCAAACTCTTCCCTGACACGGGTTTTCAAAGGGGCAATATACATACCTGGTCAATAAAAAACAAAAACAATGAACATGTGCCTCTGCATCACTCACAGCCCAAACTAAAAAGACATACAAAACGTAAATGACAACAAAATTACAATTAAAATGGACATTTTGAGACATAAAAAACATAAAGTGACTGACCTCTTCCCTGACACGGGTTTTCAAAGGGAAGAGGCAGCGGGAAAACCCCGAATTTATAGTGGGGGAACGGGGGACACACGAAGAAGAAATATAAACACGGGAGTGGCTGGAGGACCAAAGCTGCACAACGAATCAAAGACCAGGACAAAAAACAATTATAAAAATAATAAAACTTGTAATAAAAATACAATAATAACTGTGTAATTCACATAACACTTACATAAACAAATTTAAAAAATACACTGTAAAGTTTTGAGAGAGGTCACTAAAATTTACTTTGCTACATACTCCCCTCTGAACTTCTCAAAACCGTCCCAATACACATCAACATGGACCAAGAGTAACATATGCGCCAGCCAACATAAACAAACCCTATCTAGTCTCCACTCGACTGCAACATGTATGTCTTCCTAACAGAAGGAAAAGCAACACTGAAAAGTTGGCCAAACTCTGCAATGTGTGCTCGCAATGAGATAGTGCCGTATACACAACCTCTTCAACGGGTAATTAGTGGCTGCTACTCCCCATTCAACTGATTGGTTAACAATTTTACTTATACAGTGAACTCACACTTGTACCAAAACAAAAGGATTCTTTACAGAAATAAACTCAAAACCGCAAAACCAGATACTGCGTCGCGCGTCTGAACGTTCTTTTGCGCCATGTTCTGTATCAGTCTGTGTACTGGCTTTACAAGTCTTCCAGCTCTCGTTCTGAAGAGGCTAACTGAGTCCATAGGTGGTTCTCCGGACTGATCACGTGAACTGGGGACTTGTCTGGGAACATTCTCATCCTCTCCAGCACTTTCAGATTCATTTTCAGTACCTTTAAAGCCTTGAGAGTCAACACACGACCCTGCTTCCATATCTAAGGCTTCCTGAGAAGGATTTGAACCTGAGAGGGAGCCTTCAGACACTGTTTTTGCGACCCAATCAGCTGTGCGATTATCCACACTGTTTTCAAGATTGACAACTGACATTTCGGCATTTACACTGTCTGCGTTACTTTGTTCAGGGGTGGAATTAAAAGATGACACAGAGCCATGGTCAATTTCGAGTGGTAAGAAGTTTGCCGACAGAAGGAGATTACGATGGACAACCTTCTCCTGTCCGGTAGCTGTATTTTTCACCCGGTAAGTGTGGCACTTGGGATCTTTGGAAATGACTGTGTAAAGAGTGGAACTCCACTTGTCGGCAAGCTTTCTCCGGCCACGCTCACCCTTGTTAGCCAAGAGAACCTGGTCACCTTCCTCAATATCCGTCCCTTTGGCTCTCAAGTTGTACAACCGAGCTTGGCGGCGCTGACTAGCATCTGTATTGGCTTGTGCTGCAGTGAGGGCTTCTTTCAGAGTGTCTCTAATTTTCTTTACATAACTGTCATAGTCTGTGATCTCGTTATCTCTGTGTGCATTGTGGAACATGACATCCACTGGGAGTCTCGGTATGCGGCCAAACATCAAATAAAACGGTGCATAGCCAGTCGACTCATGGGCTGTACAGTTGTAGGCGAAAGTCAGTGTTTGGAGCATTTGTGGCCATTTGCTTTTGTCACGGGGTGGCAAGGCTCTGATCATATTTCCCAACGTCCTATTGAACCTTTCGGTCTGTCCGTTACCCATAGGGTGATAGGGTGTGGTCCTTGACTTTTTCACTCCAGAGATCTCCAACAGTTCCCGAATGAGCTCGCTCTCAAAGTTTGCACCCTGGTCAGCGTGGACTCTCTGGGGGAAACCGTAGACGCAAAAGTATTTGTCCCACAATTGGCGGGCTACCTGTTTTGCGGATTGGTCCGGACACTGGAAAGCGTGGGCCATTTTGGTGAAATGGTCAGTTACAACCAATACATCCACACTCCGACCTTTTGCATCCTCAGCTGACCAGAAGTCAATACACACCAATTCCAGGGGGCTCGTGGTTTTGATGCTTTCAAGAGGGGCTCTGCCCTCTGGCTCAGGAGTCTTACTCACTACGCAGCGTTTGCAGCACCTAACATACTCCCGGACACTCTGCTCCATACTAAACCAGAAAAAGCGTTGCTTGGCCAGGTGTAATGTCCGGCTCTGGCCTTGATGTCCAGCATCGTCGTGTACACCACGTAGAACTTGGCCAACAAGAGACATGGGGGTTATGTACTGATGCCGCTTTTTGCCTGTAGTTAAGTCCTTACATACCCTGTACAGAATGTTATCAAGCATTTTTAGCTTCTCCCACTGCTTCAGGAGTTTCAGAGCTCTTGGAGACAACACAGTCCTTTCTCTCCTTGATGGCCGCCTGCCACGCGTTACAAACGGGACAACTTGTGCGATAGTGGTGTCATTGAGCTGCGCATCTTGGAGCTCCTGAACAGAGAACACAGGCAAGGTGACTTGACCTGGGGGGACAAGGTCGTCTATGTCCTGGGCTAGCCAGGAAACCACTCTCTGCTCTGCACTCTGTTCCTCTGCTAGCTGACTTGAAAGGACTGCTGACACTTCTTCACTAGATAATGACTGGGTAATCTGGAGACAGTTTACCTCTTGGTAGTCTGCACTAGCTCTAAACACTTCTTGAACTGTGTCTACTCTGAGCTGCTCTGACTCACGTAACAAACACTCATAGGGCTCTGCTACCAGTCTCTGGGAAACACGACCTTTGATGAAAGGTTGGCGGCTTAGGGCATCAGCGACAATGTTCTTACTGCCTGGGATGTATTTGATGTTGAAATTGTATGGAGCCAACTTTGCCACCCACCTTTGTTCACACGCATCAAGTTTGGGTTTCGTGAGGATATAGGTCAGGGGATTATTATCCGTCCAGACAGTGAATGTGTTTCCTTTGAGCCAGTGGCTAAATTTATCACAGACTGACCACTTCAACGCCAAAAACTCTAAGCGGTGGGCAGGGTATTTGCTCTGTGCACGAGTAAGAGATTTGCTGGCAAATGCCACAGGCCGCGCTTTTGTCTCTCCGTCCTGAACTTGGGACAACACAGCGCCCAGCCCATCAATTGAGGCGTCTGTAGACAAAATGAATGGGCGGTTGAAATCTGGGTGCGCCAAGACCACGGACTCCAAGAGGGCAACTTTCAACTGTTCAAATGCGTCTTTATGTTCCTGCTTCCAATCACTGGGGTGCAACTTCTTGAACGCAGCAGCACCATGTGCGTTCCCTTTCCTCCCTTTGGGGGCAGCAGTCAGGGCGAAAAGGGGCTTAGCTAACCTGGAACAATCTTGAATGAACTGCTGATAGTACATTGCCATGCCCAAGAATGATTTTATTTTCTTCTGTGAGGGTGTTATTCCATCCTCCATCATGAGATCTGTCTCAGCCATAGAACTGATGGCCTTGACCTTTTCGGGGTCGGTAGCGACACCATGTCTGTCCACAACGTGCCCAAGGAACTTAACGCTTCTCCTAAGAAGTTGGCATTTTTTGGGAGCAAGCTTCAATCCATGAACTCTCAGCCGGCTAAAGACCATTTCCAGCCTTCTTAGCGCTTCTGCCTCATCAGGTGCATAAACAAGGACATCATCAAGATAGCAAAGGAGGGTCATGAAGTTCTGGTCCCCAAAGATACTCATCATGAGCCGCATGAAACTGGCAGGACTGTTACATAGGCCTTGTGGGAGCCTATTAAACTCATATAGGCCCATGGGAGTGGTAAAAGCAGTGAGCTTCTTATCTTCTTCGGCCATGGCGATGTTATAGAAGCCAGAAGTAAGATCCATCGCACTGAAGATAGCACTTCCTCCAAGGGCTGCCAGACAGTCTGCTTGGTGTGGCAACGGATGAGCGTCTTTGACCGTACGCGCATTGAGCCAGCGATAATCCACACAGATTCTCAAGTCTCCACTCTTTTTCCACACAAGAACCAGCGGAGATGCCCACTCACTTTTCGATTTGCGAATTATCTCTAGCTCCTCCATCTCGGAAAGGACCTCTCTGAGTTTGTGGTACTGCCCAGGTGGGACTCTGCGGTACGGGAGCCTGAATGGCCGAGTATCGGACAGATGGATTCTGTGGACAATGTCTTTAGCTGATCCACAGTCCAGTTTGCTCTTAGAAAAGACATCCTCATACTTCCGAACAAGCTCCATGAGTTGACCTTTCCAATAGGGTGACACCTCACAAGAGTCAATATCAAGATTTTCAAGCCCAAGCATAGTCAAGGTTTCTTGGAGGCCAAAGTGCTCACAAGACACGGCTTGGTTATTCACTCCCACGGTCTCAACGGCCTCTGTGTCCTCATCCAAGTCCTCAACAGCAATGCAAGCAGACACTTCTGCCATCTTTGTATTGCGCCTCAGAGTGATAGTTTTACTGGAGGTGTTAAGCACTCGGATTGGGATCCACCTGTCACCATGCATGTTAGACACTGACCTGCACACAATGATGTCATTTTTGTGGGTTAGGCACTTCGATGGCTCAACCAGCACAGCGCTACCTTCAGAGAGAGCAGAATTAGAGGGCAACCTGCTCCAAATGAGGTGCTCTCGTCTGGGCTGGAGAGTTAAAGCTTTTGTCAGCTTGGCAGTTCCAATAACATCAGGAATGTGGTCCCCTTTCCACCTGTTAATGCCAGACAGCATGTTAAGAAACTGCATAACCTCAGGCGAATCTGTCGACTCAGGTTTACTTAAAACTTCCCAGAACTGAGTGGACTGTCTGAACTGTTTGAGAATTGTACTTTATAAGCATTAGTTCAATAAATCATCTTGGTCTCTCTGTAGGAGCCATATCTATTGGTTCATGGGTATGGTTGCTATGGCAACGTGTCAGGGGGCGTGGGTCACGTGGGCATGGTTGTCATGCCGGGAGTTTTGAAAGGCACTCGCTTCCTGCTCAGTGACAGGGAGAGGGGAGAAGCCGGGTAGCTGTATTTTTCGTTGACCGCACACTTTTGGTCCATATTCTTTTGTTTTCTGTTTTACTCATATTCACTGTAACAGTCATAAACCGCAGATACAATTAAATCCACAAAACGCATTACGTGCCTCCAGCGTGTTCTTTACAATCGGCAGCGCGTCATCCATTATACTGGACCCGCACTCTTCTCTCCAGAAGCGACATAGGTTTGGGTCGCTACATTTTGTCAACGAAAAACGGGCATTAAAGACAATGAAAGCCACCGCTCGCAATGTTGCCCACAAGCACCAGGATGAAGCCATGTGAGTAAACTGTGCCATGCCATTCACAGAGAGCAGGTAAGCCCACCTGTCAGCGTTTGTTTGTGGAAAAGGAATCCGTGCATTAAAGTCTATTCATACTGCTTGTGTCTGGACATCAAGGAATAAATGCTCGGATGCAACAGGAGTCCATGCGCGCTCTCTGATCTTTACGCGCAGCACGCTCTGATTGACGGCTTCAATTGTGGATTAAATAATGCGCTGCTCTGGAGTTTCATTGTGAAAAGTGATTAAGCCGATATGTTGAAATGAAATGATTCCATAATCATTGCTACACGTGTTTGCATGAGTTTATTGTGACGTGTATTGAATAAAGAACTTGAAAATATATATTTGAACAAACAAAATGAGTGACACGGGTGGTGCGGCCTGGCGGCCTGAAATTGAGTCTCAGAAACGTGAGATCAAACTCACTGAAAAGGCTTTGGCGTACAAGGTGGAAAAACTTCAAAATGAGCGCAAAGGTTTTGTCAATAAAATTAAAGGGTTGATACCTGAAATAAAAGGTTTGATGAATCAAAAAGAAAATGTTTCTCAAATAAAGGATGACATGGAAAACCTGAGCAAACTGTATTTTTCTGCCAATGCTGCACAAAGTGAATTGTTGCCATTAATTCCACAAGAAGAGGTTATGAAACAAAATGAGTGGTTTGAAAGCATCACAAAATACACTGAGACATTTCAAAATGATGTGAAACAATGGATTTACAGCACTGAACAAAACTCAACGGAGTACAAATCCAAACCAAAGGAAAACTTAAATGAAATGAGAAATATGCCCTCAGTGTCAAATGGAAATGAACAAGAGCCAACTCAAAGCAACGAATGTATGGATTTTGAAACAAATGTGCTTAAAATGACCACAAAATGTGTGACTGAGGATGAATGCAGACAAAACCGAAATCATTGTCTTTGGTCCCCAGAAACAAAGAGAGGGCGTCATTTGTCAACTTCAGTCTCTCTCCCTACTTCCTTCAGACAAGGTCAGAAATTTGGGGGTAATACTGGACTCAGACCTAAATTTCAATAGCCACATAAAATCAATAACATCAACAGCTTTTTACCATCTGAAGAACATTGCCAAAGTTAGAAATATAGTGTCCAGGGCAGACTTGGAGATTCTTGTCCATGCATTTGTCTCCAGCAGGCTAGACTACTGCAATGGCCTGCTTACAGGTCTGTCCAAACAGACCTGTAAGCAGCTGCAGTACATCCAAAATGCAGCAGCTAGAGTCCTGACAGGAACCAGGAAGTATGACCATATTAGTCCGGTCCTCAGGTCTCTGCACTGGCTTCCTGTGGCTCAAAGAATAGATTTTAAAACGGCTCTGCTTGTGTACAAGTCTCTCCATGGCCTTGCACCAGAATACATTAGTGACATGTTGGTGTCATATGAACCGGCCCGGACTCTGAGGAGCACAGGGACTGGCCTCCTGCTGGTGCCCAGAGTGAGAACCAAACATGGGGAGGCTGCGTTTCAGATCCATGCAGCTAAGATCTGGAACAATCTCCCTGAAAATGTGAGGGAGGCGTCTACTCTGTCAATGTTCAAATCCAGGTTAAAGACTGTTCTGTTTGCCTGTGCATATAACTGAAGGATTTTATCTCCATTTTTAATGCACTGCTGTCATTTATTTATTTTTTTTAAATTTCTTGTGTAATTTTGAAAGTTTTAATGGTTTTATTCTTTTGTGTGATTTTACTGTTTTAATTGTGTTTTAATCTTTTGTGTGATTTTAATGTTTTAATTGTGATTCTGGTGTTTGTTTTATGTGATGATTTGTGATGTGGACTGTGAAGCGCTTTGTGTTGCCCTGTGTATGAAAGGCGCTCTACAAATAAACTTTGATTGATTGATTGATGACATTGAGCCAAGTGACAGTGCTTCAAATACTGGAAGTAACAAAAGTGCACAATCTCTCATATCTACAGCTTCATCTGCACGTCTGAAAGCTGAGGCCGAGCTGGCTGCTCTGGCTGCAAGACAACGCTCACTAAATGAAAGGCATGCAATTGAAGAGGAGGAAGAACGGCTGCGCAAAAGAAAAGAAAAGTTACAACTGGAAACTGAAATAGCTGAAAAAATGGCAAAACTGGACATTTTCAAGACACGAAGCACAACAAGTGGAAGTAGAACTTCAAAAATCTCAGATGGAATGAACTCTTATTTGAACAAATCAAAGATGCCATTGAATGTGAATGCTGTAGAGTTCATGCCTGCACCAAAACTAAATGCAACAATAAACATGAATCAAAAGACTTCAATTAAAAACACCGAAACAACAACAATAAATACCAAAGCCCCAGAACGCACAACACATGGACAGTGTTTTTTGGATTCAAATATGGAAGTGAATGCATCGAATATGGAAAATAAAAATGATATTCTTGGAATAATGAAAAGGCAAAATGACATCACAACTTTATTACTTCAACAACAATGTCTTGCAACGTTACCCAAAAGAGAAATCCCCATATTTGATGGCAATCCACTAAAATACCACACGTTTATAAAGGCATTCGAAAATGGAGTTGAGAGGAATACTTCTAATAATTCTGATCGCTTGTACTTCCTAGAACAGTACACAAAAGGACATGCTAAAGAACTGGTCAAAAGTTGTCAATACAATAATCCAGAGCATGGTTACATAAAAGCAAAAGGCTTATTGGAACAACATTTTGGTGACGAACAAAAGGTGGCATCATGTTACATGGAGAAAGCCTTATCATGGCCTCCAATTAAAGCTGACGATGTAAAAATGCTGCAGGACTACAGCCTATTCCTCAGGGGTTGTTGTAATGCCATGCAAGATGTACAGTATCTCCATGATCTGGACATGCCATCTAACATGCTGATTATTATTAAGAAACTGCCTTATAAGCTCAGAGACAGGTGGCGGAGCCAGGCATGTGAACTACAAGAAAGGCAACAACGAAGAGCTGGATTTCACAACATTGCCGACTTCATCGAAAAGCAAGTGAAAATACTCACTGATCCAGTCTTTGGAAATATTCAAGACCCTCCTATATTTTCCATGAATCCAAGCAAACCCAAGTCATTTCCCAGGCCCAGGGGTCACAGCTTCGCTACTTCCATCAGTCCAGCAGAGAACAAGACCTGGTCCACCAGTAAAGAGAACGACTCACAGACAGCAGGAAGAAATACTTGCATTTGTTGTGGAGCAGGACACGAACTTTTTAAATGTGTACAGTTGGGGAAGATGGCTCATGAGAAAAGGATAGACTTCCTGAGGGAAAAGGGCATCTGCTTTGGTTGCTTGTGCACAGGGCACATAAGTAAGCACTGTCGAAAGAGGTTATCTTGCTCAAAGTGCAGCCGCAAACACCCTACTGTCCTGCATAAAGAATCTATGTCTGGTGCTCAGCAGACAGAGGCAAGAACCGAAGTCTGTGATATGTTGGTGTCGAGTGGGTTTACAGGGGCTGGAGACCATGATTGCAAGCTACCAATCGTCCCAGTTCAAGTAAAGTCCTCAAAAGGTAGCAAAATCGTCACCACATATGCATTTTTGGACCAAGGAAGCACTGCTGTGTTTTGTACAGAGAGTCTTACGCACAAACTTAATGTAACAGGAAGAAAAGGCCACATACTGCTGCGAACTATGGGCCAAGAAAAGATCGTTACCAGTAACGTGGTGTTAGGATTGGAGGTTGCTGCACTGCATGGGGAAGAGTTTCTCGAGCTGCCCAAAGTCTACACGCAGGAGTCCATACCAGTGTATAAAGGTAATATCCCCATGAAAGGAGATATTGACAAATGGCCACATTTAAGACACATTCACTTTCCACAGATCGATGCAGGAATTGAGCTCCTGATAGGAACCAATGTGCCAAAAGCTTTGGAGCCATTGGAAGTGGTCTGCAGTGTGGATGGAGGACCATTTGCAACAAAAACAAGGCTGGGATGGACTGTGAATGGCCCACTGGGAGGAGGCAGTGGGGAGCCAGAGAGTGGAACACCACATGCATCAGTCAATAGAGTATCAGTGATCAACTTGGATGAACTATGGCAGCAGCAGTTTAAAAATGATTTCCCTGAAACAAATAAGGACGAGCAACCCGCCATGTCAAGAGACGATCTGAAACTTATGGACTCAGTCGCCAACTCTGTGAAACATCTAGATGGCCATTATCAAATCAGTTTACCACTGCGACGCAGC